GAAATCGCCGAAACGTCAACCATCAATCAACAACACCAGTAACAACGACAACGAAATAAACGAGATTGTTATGAAACTTCTATTCGGTTAACGTTTCAACGCACTCGGCTACTTCTGAGCCACAATGATTCGGGTCGATTGTCCGTCGCCGCTCGTCCTCGAGGTGTAGATTTTCGTAGTTGCGTCGAGTCGAATCTTCTCGAGTGGAACACTGCTCGAATCGATTCGAATAGATCGACAGGTGGACTATGAATCATTGTGGCTATGAGGAAGGCGAAAGCACCGGGACGTCGAGCGAATAGAATTTCATAACAAGCCAATGTAAACTGATAAATATGACAAAATACCATTGATTATACATGCCAATCTCTCACGGATCTTCCTCATATGAGGGACCTCGAGTCCATTGGCTGCAAGGCTACGTAGGCGTCTCCAGGTACGGATAGTGGGTTAATCGCGGACCAAAAGCACCTTTGCTTCCCTGAGAAGCAGGTGAATCCAGAGGATGGACTCTCTGTTCCTGCTGCACTGATTTGGCACATACTTTCAGTATTTGCTAGGCGTATTCATGCATGCGTGTGTGGCTGCGTTCTTGCTTATGCGGATTGTATTCCACGAGTCAATTCGGCCAAAAGCCTGCAATCAAGTGACAGCGAAGTATGTGGGGGTTAGGAGTCGCCTCCAACACCACCCATTCAACGCCATCTAAAACACCGGAGAAGAACTGCTCCTTGGAATATGCGACAGTAAAGGAGTCGGCAGCGTCGGCGTTCTCGTCAACACGAGTTGCCCCGTGGAAGTCGATTCATTCGAACAGATTACAACCCGAATCGGACGTTTACGATTAAAAAGACGTGGATCAATTCCAGCTTTGACAATCTTCGTCGTTTACGCGTCGACATCAAACTATGACGAAGAAGAAGTCGAAGCGTTCTATACGGACTTGGAGAAGTTCTACAGAGAAGACCACACATTCTTCAAGGTGATCGTTGGAGATTTTAACCCCAAGATTGGATCAAGAAGAACGCCTGAAAAACGTCACATTGGGATCCACGGAGTAGAATGGAACGAACAGGGTGAGCGGCCGTCTCAGTTTATCACGGCGACCAAGACAATTCGTCGCAACTCGCGATTCCAGAAGCTCCACCCTCAACGCAGGACCTAGGAGTCTCCCAATGGAGAGTACCATAGCGAAATAGACCACATCATAGCAAATAGAACGTTTTGCCTAACCGATGTTCCTGCTGTCCCAAAATTCTACATGCAATCAGACTACCGTATCCTTCGTGCTATTTCTCTCGGAAAGGAAAAAAAGCCGTTAAATTCAAAAAGTCTAAACCGAAGTCCCAGAACCACCGTAAACTGGGACTTATTCAATTCATTAGTCGGCTGTTGGGAAGATGAGGCTGTCGAAGAACATCGACGAAGAATTCGATCGTCTCATTCAACATCTTCACGTTAGTGCTATGAAAGCTGAGAGTTCGAAAGTCACGATGAGACTTCTGTCTCCAGAAGCACTCGAGCTGATACGACAGTATGGAATCGCACGAACTGCAGGCAACCGCGATCTAACGTCCGAACTTGCAAAACAATGCAGACAGGCGATAAAAGATCTTAAAGAGAGAAGAGCAGCAGTAATGGTTGAAGCTGCCAAAGCTGGAAAAAGCGTTCGCAAAGCCCACCAAAACTTCGCTAATTACAAGATCAAGATGATTGCACTCCGACGCCCAGACGGAACAGTTACAGCGTCCAGAAAGACAATGGAGAAAATCATTCACGAATACTACACAGATCTCCTCAATAGCCACGTCCACCTTCCGTCATATGAAACAACGGAGGATGGATATGTTGTACCACCGGTTCTCCCTTCCGATATCCGACATGCCATTTCGTCGGTGAAAAATCGAACAGCACCTGGTCCGGACAGTATAAGATCAGAAGATCAGAACACCTGAAGAACCTTCCGCCAGTCCTCGCAAACACACTGGATCGGTTGTTCACACGTTACTTGTCCGAATGCAAGGTCCCTACTCAGTGGAAAACAAGCAAGACCGTGTTATTGTTCAAGAAGGGTGACTTACACGACATCAGCAACTATCGCCCAATCTACTTGCTGTCTGCAGCCTACGAACTTTTCACTCGAGTCATTCTAAACACGACTGGTAGAACACTGGACGAAGGGCAGTCGTGTGAGAAAGCACGGTTTCGAAAAGGATTTAGTGCGATGGACCACATCCACACGATAACACGGCTCATTGAAGTATCGCGAGAGTACAAGAGACTGCTCTGTCCCAATTTCATCGACTTACAGAAGGCCTTTGATTCAATTGAGATAGAAGCAGTCATGGAAGCCCTTGGTAGTCAAGGAGTCCCTACTCAGTGCATAAAGATTCTTCGTGAAATGCACAAAAATTTCACCACTAAGGTAACACCATTCTACAACGATATTAACACTGACGTTAAAAGAGGAGTTAGGCAAGGTGATGCCATCTTGCCAAAATTATTTACCGCTACCCTCCAGAACGTCATGCGAACATTGAAATGAGATAATATAGGAGTGAAAATCGAAAGGCCGACAGTTACTTCATCTTCGCTTTCCTGATGACACTGTCCTTTTAACACCAAATACTAGCCAACCGGAACGTATGCTTGCCGACTTTGATAAAGCCTGTGGAAAGATTGGTCTTCGACTAAATCTCACAAAAACGATATTCATGGCGAACGGATTGGTTTCGTATGTCCCATTCACGCACAACGGAACGAATACCTCCGAATGCTTCAGTTATGTCTATCTAGGTCGGGAAAACAATATGATGAAAGACTTAGCTCCAGAGCAGCTGAGTAGAAGGAAACGAGCGGTTTGGGAAGCTTTCAAGAGCATCGAGGATGTAGTGAAGAGAACATAGAACACCCGACTCTGTGCCCACCTTTCCAATTCGGCGCGGTACTTCCTGCCCTAACGTATGCGTCAGAAACCTGGTCGCTGCGTAAGTAACCTGATCGTAAGCAGGATGAAAGGTCACTTAGCGTTATCGAACGCGCAGTCGAAAGGACGATGCTAAGAGTATCCCGTTCACACATGTAAGGGATGGAATCCGAAACTCCGATCTGCGTCAACGATCAAGAATCAAAGATGCCGTTCTGCACGCCAAAGAGTCGAAGATAAGGTAGGCTGGACACGTAATGCGTATGAATGACAACCGATTGACATGAGCCGTTAGTGACTGGATTCCTCGGGATGTCAAACGTACTGCAAGAAGACCACCGAACCGATGGTCAGAGTTCTTCACGAAGCTTACAAGAAAGATATGATGCTCGACGAGTCCCTAGAGCGAGCAGAACCCACTGGGCTACTCTTGTACGCGACAGGGAAAAATGGAAGATTTACTGGCGCTCGCTCGAGTCACTCGACGATCAACGGGACTACTACACATGATACAGGTGATACATGCCAAGGTTAAATAAAAGTTGGTTTCGAAGACTAAAAACACACATAGTGGAGGGGTAGCGCAGTGGTAGTGACGCCGATTATCGCGAGTACGCCGCTGGTTCGACCCCACCTCGAGCTCACCAAACCTTTCAGCCCTCTGGAGCCCGAGATTTTTACCAGAATTGTCTGTCAGGGAAAAGCTCACTCTCTGCAATCCAAGTGGAAATACTCTAGCCCGACCATTTCAAGACTCTACGAGAATCGACTCGACCAGCACTCAACGACATTCCTGACAAAAAGAAAATTCTCAAGTAGCAGCTACACCCACACGTAGAAGACTTTCGTGGATGCGACGAGGGGAATCGGATGTAAGAAGTCCAGCACAGTAGATGTGAAGGATGGATTGTGCAGAACAAATAAGACAATAAAAAAAGCATGCATACCGTTCGTATTCATTGAAAGATAGAGGAAAGTCTCTTCAACAATCCTGCCATGTTCACACCTTCAAATCCTCCATTTACCGAAAAATTACCATCTATTGTCAAAATACCAATATAGACATGAAGGATAACAAGTAAAGCTCACGGTTTTGATCACTTTCTGAAGCATGCGCCATGCACTCGAGTTCGCTAAGCGTCGTTATAGGTGATTGAATGAACATCTGGCCAATACAATGATTTACGGTGTCCTACCGATGGACTGAGCCAGTGTTGCTAGCCCCTGAAACAATTCACCAATTTGCCGACCTCGGAAGGATGGAGAGTTTGGTGAGCCAAATATTTTCATAGTGTTTCTTTGCAAACACTGCGTAATCTTCACTTCTATTTTCATAAGCTTTCACTGATATGATGAAAGATATGACATGTGTACTGAAACACGTGCATATTTAAGTTATAATCCTTACGTCCTCCGTTACAAGACTGCCTGTGACCGCATGTGGTGATCCTCTGAGAACGTAGTAGCACGACCTTCTGGAGACCTCCGAGGAAGGGTTTCCCTAACCATCAAAACAGTAGCTAGCTGAAAATCGTCCTGGAAACCGCACAACTGTGAACCTTGCCATTTACCAGATCAGCCCGTTGTGTCACTCGCTTCACAACATCATCCCGATGAGGAGGACGAACCTCCGGTTGTCGCTTGAGGGCTAGAGATTCTCCTAGATGGAGCATGGGATATGAAACTTACATGAAATTTCTCAGGAATACATACTTTCATTACTACTTATAAGGCTACAAAACATCAAAGTAGGCGGAAGTCGAACCTTCACAAGTTCGAGAGGTGAGCGCCTTCCGCAAGTTAGAGTAGGGCACGTTTGCTGATACGCGTAGATTTTTGTTCGCTTATTCATGAATGTTTTGCTTGGTGGTCCCTCACCTATCCTTTCGTTCTTTCCATTGTGACTCTCAGTGAGAATCATTCTTTGGTTCTAGCTTCTCTGCAGATCATCGCAGATATGTTTTTTCTCTGCCGAGGCCATGTCTCGTCCTACGCAGATATGCTGATTTCTTGCCCAGCTCTGTTGCGTTCGTCGAGTTGTCCTCTTTGTCGTTCAGATCCTTCGTATGTAGCGATGGCTTCCCTTTTTCGAATGGACAGAATTCTCTACCAGTGCGGATGCGACGAGTGGTGGCCATTGTGTAGTCTCTACTTTTGCCGCCATTGTTCTACCATTCGGTCAGTACTTCCTTCAAGTACTAAAAAAAGTTACTATAAGTTCAGTTTGATACGTTTCCAGTTTTATTCGTGTTAATTAGCTGTAAATCCTTCTTAATTATCAGGAAATTGTTTTGGGAACTCTATAGTTTTAGGTGCATGTCATGCAGTCTTAATGAAATCGACTCCACATTCTGCCCTAATTGTTTGGAGAATATTCCTGCAGGTGAAGCTCGAGTGAAGAAGAACAGATGCGTCAATTGTAACCAGTGTCCGATATGTGGTGTGTCTGGTTTTTTCGTGTTTAAAGTGTTCAAGAGGGCACATTATGCGCAGTGGTTAGAGATGCTTTGCAATACACACGTGGTCTTTGGTTGGACCACCTGCTCCGGGCCTCCTGTTAAGCTGTTCATTTCTCCGGGGTGGGCATATTGGTACTACACTTATCTGGGGGATAGCAACACTGATTTGATACATCAGTAGGCCACCTCGAGTCGTTATAAAGGCCAGATATGCATTCAGTCACCTTCAACGATGCATGATGAAGTCGAATGAATGGCGCATCCCTCAAGGATTGGTCAGCGCTTGGAGCTCCAGTGCTTTATCCTTTATTTAAAGCGTTTATGCATTTATCGTCTGTTTCATCTGCAAATGACAAGTGTTTCATTTCTGTTTTCCATTACATTTAGGTATGGTGTTGACGACAAGAGCTGTGGGTGAATTGTGCCATTTGATGTGCTCCACATGCCGATGGTCGACGAGGGATTCTGACACCCCAGATCAGCCATCCAGTGGCAACTGGCCAGTGTCAGTTCTATTTTTTTTCTTTTCGCCTTTAAATTTTTTTAAAGGATTTTCACTTTCAATGATTATTTTGACAGCGTTCTTTCTTTAAAATGTTGTGAAATCTAGTGATTGTTCTGAAGGTCGTTTTCTACCTTATTTCGATCTATGCACCTCTTGCGCTGCAGCCGTGATAAGATAGCTGACATGCAGTGCTTATCAAAGTTGTCGTTCGGGTAGCATCATCCAGTATTGCCGACTATCGCCTGAGTTAACTTCTTTGTTTACTGCTTGCTACAATTTTTTCTCGGCAGGGTATTATGTGAAATACAACCACAATGACGGATATCGTTGATGGCACTGGTAAATAGAAAACTAGCTGAGAGAAAGACGAGGCGAAGGACACACATAATGTGGTGATGAACGCTCAATACCCAGAAAGGCTAGTAGCGTGTTCGATCCTCACTGCAGACACCTGCAGACTGGGATTTTGCAATTATCTTATCATCATTATGGTTTCCGACTGGGTTTCCAACTCTTTACATCCTTCCATGCACTTAAATACTTCGGAAATATTCTTTTAATAATGAGTTGGATGGCGGTTTCACTTTGTTTGTTCTTACCCAGTGTTGAGGTCTGGCAATTATATGAGACTTGCGATTAAGTCACAACTAAGTGTGCATGGATGGGGAATTCAGCTGCTTCTGTTCGTTACCTTTTTTACACATTGTAAACCTATCCTACTGCCGTTCTAAGTTCAATAAGCGTCTTATGTTTATGTATAGGTTCCACGTTTCTGCTGTAATTTTTTGTGACTATAAACACTGCAGGCAGGGCGCGTGAAGCGCCCTGCAATAAACATGGGATCGATCCCAGTGCACAAGGCTCACCAAGCCTTCCATCACTCCGCGGTCGGCAAAGTGGTACCAGACTTGTCTGGGAGGATAGCAGCACTGGCTCGATACATCGGTAGGCCATCGCGAGTCATTGTAAAAGACAGATATGCATTCTATCACTTCCAACGGTGCTTAATGGAGTCGAATGCATTGCGCGTCCCTTAGGAATTGATCAACTCGGACAGCTTTATCCTTTATCTTTTTTATAAGCACTACATGAATGAAAGATAAGAAGGCTCACAAATGTCGACTATACTACTGCTTACGCTGTTTCTCTCTCTGTAGTACCCTAACGTCCAATTAAGTGCAAAATTGATGACGAAGTTGGATGGATGATAGGATTACGATTTTAGTATTAGAATATCAGGCACTATTTGATCCGTAACACGTTAATCCTATAGCATATATGTGGCTGGTTCAGTTCTATGTATTAAGAAACATTTCATTTCATTCTTGAGGGATATATGGTGCAGTGGTCGAGGGTGCCTTACGGCACACACATTGGATCTCCAAGCACACATCCCCACTCCCAAGACTCACTAAGCCTTCCATCTCTGCGGCGTCGGCAGATTGGTGCCAGATTTGTCTATCAGGATAACAGCACTTGCTCGATTCATCGGAATGGCCACCGCGAGTCATTGTAAAGAGCAGATATGCATTCAATCACCTCCAACGATGCTTAATGAAGTTGAATGCATGGGGCATCTCTTAGGAATTGATCAACGCCGAAAGATTTATCCTTTTTTTTTAATCCACTTTATTCTTAGTTTTCTTGCTTTCTGACGTTTTTTATTCTAGATTTTAACCACTTAGTTTGTAGGTGCTTTGTAGCCGAGTGCGCGTATCAAACCACTGCATGTTTTATTCATGTTTTCGGCCTTCTTTTTGGTTTCTGTTTTTTTTTCGTGTCGTATGAAGGACTTTTAAAGTTTAAGTCATCTAAATTTATCCAAACGACTGCAAGATGGCTAATTCTTGTACTAAGAAAATGTGAGAAGAAGAATTTCCAAAAAAACCTTGTTTTCCAATGGAGTGGTGACTTGGTAAAGAACCACTGCAAGTGGTAAACCGCTCTGGCTTTCTCGTGACTTGTTTGGACACTTGGATTGCGCATCTTCACGTGTAATGATGGCCCCGACACATCTTCCATGCGTATATTTCCTCATTTACTCGTCGCCCATGGTGGCAGCGATTGGGTTCGATAGTGGCGACGCCCTCGAAGCGTATTGTGTTATCCAGAAACCGTCAAAAGTAATATAGTCTACAATCAAATAGTTAATCAAAGGTATTTCTCGAAAATTTAGTTGCGCTTTGGAAATATAAGTACTCGAGATGATCTTTATAGACTATATTCCTACGCAGTGAAAAGTGCGATGTTGTATCTGCAGTCAGGTATTCCAGGATTAATAAGATATCTATGCAATTAAGAAGTATGAAACTTGATGGTTTAAAGCCTCTGTACAACGGACTCACGCAAACGTGTTCGGAAATTAATAGTATTTGCCTGCTGCTCACCTTGGAGTCTGCGAACTCGAAACGGTAGGTGACAAAAGCAAAACAGGCAACTTGGGGGCCAAAAGAGCTTTGTGTGACGAAATAGACTACACAGAAGGAAATGCTTTTGAATTAATACACCTCATCTTCTTTGCCGATACACGTGAATTACATTCAGTACGCAATGTGCTTAATCTCTTAGTAGTATACTACAATCGAGCAGGTGTGAACCACATATGAATCACACTGTTGTGAATGTGTTGAAACAGCTGGGCAATAGTATTGCAAGCTTGAGCACTGTCGTTCCATGCAATCAAAACGGTTTCTACTCAAAAGTAAAAGCAATTTATGGCATGCGCTAATCAGAGTTCTTATAGGTACGAAACTACTTTGGACAAAGAACTTGCTGAAGGTCTAGAGAGAATGCGTATTCTAGCCGCCGCAGAGAAAGCTCAACGGGATCAAGTGAAACTTAACAAAAGGTTGCCTTCTTGCTTGTTCAAGTGCTTTATTTGTTACATATGTCGTTTAGAAGGTCTTATAATATCGGCACTCTTCTATCTGACCGTTATGGCTTGCAATCTATTTATCAGAAGCGAAGGAGGACTTTCGAGAAGCCCATACCATGTACTCCATTACACGTTGCATCAGATGAGGTATTCAGTGTATTATTGTGAAGTCCCGATCGAATTGTTGTATCTTAAAATTTTGCTTCCGATAGGTCCCAGAAATGGATTTATCTTGTCTCATCGGCGATTCAGTCGAGGACTTTAAACCGTCTTTGGATTCTCGTCTTCGACAACCACTTGCAGGTGATCGTCCTCTCCGTCCCGTTAGAATGCCATTGAGAGCGAGGAGAGCTGTTCGGTCTGTAATCACTAAAATAATGTTATCTAGAGTATCTTTGAAGTTCATTGATATAGTGTTTATTTTAAGCTTTTGAAATACCTGAGACATGTTTAGGTGCAAAAATTGTGACCACAATCTTGTAAAACTTGAATATGGCACCTCAACTATTCGCTATAAAATTCAGGTATAGTGCATTCTGTCACTGTCAACATGTTTGCTAACTGGGAAGTTACTACTTCCAGTATTTCGCTCGTAACTTTGTACCTGAAATACATCTCTCGCGAGAACCTGAAATATGTGAAGGTGAAAATGGTTCAGTCCTTCTTACAGTCACTAATGAAAGTAATTCTAAAGCTGAGGTAAGTATTCGGATGTCCTATGTTGCTTCCCATTTTTACCTTCTCAAGGGTGATTAACGAACGTAGGTGGATATCAGGTGATTCTTGTCGCGGATAATGGTGATGGGTTAGTAGAGTGTCTGACGCCTGCAATTCAACTCAGCCTTCCGTCCGCTGATGAAACTGCGGACATTTACGATATCGAGAACGATAAACGTAGTGTTAATGATGGGTGCGTTTACTAAATCGGTTATATTCATTCTAGGTTCTATATCTCTAGACTCATCACCTATTACAGACCGGGAACAGTGGTCTTTCGCCGAAGACACCGGGCTGGAATACGATTGGAGGTTAAATGTAGGGAAGATCATAGCTCAAGGAATATCCTTTCTCTATTGGTCAAGTATAAGAACGAGCAATGCTCCATGCAAATGAACGCTGAACCCGAGTGGAAACTGACTCGTGTGCATGTATTCTTAGCGCCACTGTCATAATCAATTTTTACTTGGTGTTCATTAGAATGTTGTATCGTATTATGTGCTTACTAATGTCTTAGTGGAGTGAATATTGATCTAAGCGGTTAGTTTTCATATAAACAAGAGGATGATGTCATCTTGGGATTCCTGCTTTTAACCACAGTGATGCTGAGACATTCGGAAAACTTGGACTCCGGCCCATAGCGAAGCGAACCGAATCAAAGATCAAATAGTATGCAGCAAATAAAGGGTTAACATTCCTGCTTTTGTTTACAGTACATTCATTTTGTAAGTCTTTAATGTTCCTAGTTAAGGCTCTCTTACAATTTCAAATAGTTATAGCTGGTCGCGCTTATCACTCTTCGAAACCAATGAATATCAGCACCAGTGCAGAGCCGCTCTAGCGGAACTCTTCAGTAGGAAAAGAGGTTGATTGTTTTTGTAATATTGTAATATAGTCGTCCATGAACAGAACGGATGTACGGATGTTCCTCGTTATTTTCTCACTACCTAGCACATGGAAAGAGCTGTTCAGCAGTAGCGGTGGTCATTGTGTTTGAAATATCTCTGGAGTGGACTATAGATTTACTCCTAGTAATGAATTTTCTACAAGCTTCACTCGCAAGGAAATTCCTCATACTTCGACGAATTTAAATACAAGGAATTTGATGATCACTGCAATAGGCCTTCCATAAAATCTTTAATGTAGCATACTACTACTACTTTCTGTTTTTCACCATTTCATTTCTCTTTATTTTGTCACAGGGGATAAGGTAGGTCAGTCGTTTATGATGCAGTTCATCATGAAGCAAGGGAGCCCTACCAATAAATAAAGGAAGTAGGGACAAGTATGGCAGTATTACCACTGTTGTCGTGAATACACCCATACCTAATAATACTAGTCAAAGCTTTGTGCGAAAATCCGATCCAATTACTACTTGAATGTAATTTCCTACTGCCGCCTGAGCGGGAAATGAACTTGGACGACATTCTTTCGGTGTACAGAGTAAGCATGAGGAGAACCTGATGAGTATTTACCACAGCCTGGTTATGAAACTTCAAAGGTGCCAAATATGCTTTGTATCTTCAAATAAGAAGCTATTAATGGATTTTCAACACCAACACGTTGGAAGAGAAGAAAGTGCACAACAAATACCACGTATAGAGAACATTCTTCACGATCATTGGAATGTTCTCTATGTAAAACATTTCAAATACTGCTTCCGGTGACCTTATTCCTAATTTTCTGTATTGGTGTGTGTTTCTTGTTCACCTGTAACTATCTTAAACCTATCTTCGCATCTTCTCTTAATTGCTTCTTAGCCACTATCTCATGCAGTTGCCTCGCAGGTGACTGGAAAGCGATTCCACAACTTCTTTGAATAAACTGCTCTTTTTTGTCCGGCAGTTCAGTTCACATGTAGTCCTACCAGATTGTGCTAGTAGAAAAACCTTTAGAACCTCTCTCTAGGCACTGCCTTTAGTTCCCTTTTGCAAGGGTCCACCCACTACAGAAGGAATACAAGCAGCCCACGGGCATTTGTCTTCAAGCGTTCGTAGCGTTCGTCCGGTGTTCATCCAATCTTTCAGTTCCTCAGTGCTCCAACTCCAGTGTCCACCTAACTTCCTTCAACTGCATCGCTTGTTCTCATTTCAATCTCGCTCGTATATACCCACTTAACCACATATCGCCACATACCAGATATTATTGTACAGTTGTTATTGCTACAAATTATTGTAACCCAAACTCGACGTTGTTCACCACAGTTACGGAAAAAGTTCCGTGTGGCAGTTACAAGGACTAATATCTACAACGACTTGGTATTCATATAAAGTTGGGATCTCAGTGCCACAACACCAAGCACTCAACAAGTTACCCATAACTTCCACGGGGTCATCTTTATGTCACAGCAAAGTATGAGTAGTTCAGCACATCATAGTTCCCTTTCTGTAAAGACAGACGTTTTTCTAGTTGTAATTAAATTGTGGAAAAGAAGAAGGGAAGGTGAAAATCTGCGATAGCGAAGACCAAATTTTACATGAACCCAGGGTGTTCAAGAAAAGTAGGATAAGCATTTGAAGTTGGGATTCGCTAAAACAGTGAAATCAGTGATTTAGAGTCCTTAAAATACTACATGCAATTTTACATCTCTGAGTTGTAACCCCTGTAAGATGTAGTGTAACGGTATAAAATAATGATGCAGTATAATAGAATAGACCATATTGAGATCTGACTTAAATTTCCTCGGTGTTTACAGCACTGCTGTTGAAGACATTCTCTGCAAGAAATCTCAGGAAACTAATAGAATACAAAAAAACCCATAGACATCACTATGTTTTGGTTGAAAAAATTGGACTAAATCATCAACAGTGCAAAATGTAAAGCACTAATCCAGTGATAAGTCATATTGTTTACCGCAGAGTATATCTCGCTGATTAGCCATACCGACTGTACTCTTCGAAGACTTTCCAAACACATAAGACCCATGGTGTATCGTTCAGTCATCGTGCTGAAGAAACGAATGTAGCTATCCTTTCGTAAAAGAAAAAGTACGAAAAGTAGAATCCGCGTATTATAATTAGCGTTGCATCATCAGAGAGTAGAACTATCCTGGAAAACAAATCGATTAAATCTAACGTCCCAGTAGAACAATTCTGACTGGTTGATATATTTTAGACGATTTGAAATATCTTCTTTACGCGATCCGAAATCAAGCATGTGGACCTCAGCACCCTTTTCTCGCATTTATCATCCACGAACGTCCTTAGATTTGCGAGCTATTCTGCCATACGGTTGAGGATTTTGGTCTGCTTTATGAACGTTTTTGAATTCTGGTTCAGCAGATTCTTCTTGGAATCCTGTTACATGATACGTCTTGATACGCTCCTATGTCTTACCACAGGCAGCTGACAGCCTTTGCTGATTGGAAGGAGCTCTCCACAAATCGCTCACCGATTGGTCGGTCTCGGAGAAAGTTTTGGCTTACCCGCTATGACAGATTATGTTTTAACACTATGTTACAGCTTATCACGCAATCATAATACTGCCCATCTCAAATTGTGCACCATGATAGAGCCGAAGCTCAAGCACTAGTGACTCCAAAGTGTGGTTAACCTCTCGTAATATGATTGCTTATCAAACAGAAGAAACACCTTGTACAGAATGTGTACAGAATTTGTGTTCGAATGTGAAACTTGTGGAATTCCATGCTCCAGATGTAAGACATATATCTGTCGTCAACCATGACTGCTTACGGTTTCAATGTGATTCAAAATCCTACGGGCGGGTAAAATAAACTGGGAGTGCACCAGGAGTTCACATTAATCAGTAATCGCTTTAATACATCTTAAATAATTGCACCATTATGAACATTGTACAAATCTAATCGCAAATAAAAAGATAGATCTTAAAGTAGTAAACAAGACGCAAGAGTGTCGCATACTAAACACAACATGTGTAAAATAACTAACTATCGGCAACGGCTAATTTCTTATTGCCAAAGTTGTCATCACTTTTTCCTCCCATTTTCAATTCACGTTTTATCCTATGACGCTCCTCCATTTCTTCCTTTCTGCTTAAAATAACTTTAGATTTAACGTATACAAAAGCGGCAAATCCAAACACAACTATCACAGCGTAGGCAATCCCTATGTTCCTATGTTTATCGTCCAGTCCGAGCTTGTCAACAACCTTAATTAATACGCCTGTAGTACGTGAATGTTCCAGTGGGAATGAATCACCTCTGATCTGTAGTTCCAAAATATCTTTTGGCCGCCGAAGGTACTATCCCGAGCAGACGATTTTTTACGAATACGTTCCTCCAGTAAATCCATTGATCTGAAATCCAGAATTGCGCATTAATAGGACTGCATGCCAATAACAAAACTTTCAGAGAATCAACTTCTTTTTTAATGAGAATGACCAGTATTCATTATCATTTGTTAGAATCAGGTCAAAAGATTTTTCTAGTCTTCTCATTCAGAATCAGACAGAGGACAAAAAAGAAAGCTCTCGACGTTTATCAATTCCTGAGGGATGCGCCATGCATTCGACTTCATTAAGCATCGTTAAAGGTGATTGGATGCATATCTGGCCTTCACATTTTTCGCATGATTCGCAATGACCCACCGATGTGTGGGGCCAGTGCTGCTATCCTCCCAGACAAGTCTGGTAACACCAATCTGCCGAACCCGGAGGGATGGAAGGCTTGGTGAGCCTGGTGCACTGGACTGAGCCCATATGAATTGGACGGCGCCTCTAACCACTGCGTTATACACGCTCCTTATAGTCAGTACCTTAGCTAATTGTCATTTGTCGTCGTTGCTGACGTGTCGACAACACTGTCATCTTCAGAGCCGCGTTGATTCTTGTCGACGATAGCGACAGCCATTTCCTTCCATGTACTGCATAATAACGAACCACACGAATACTATTAGCAATACCTATACTGTGCCCTGCCAACTTGATGCGAATCGGGGGACGGTACATCATGGCGATGATCTATGCCATGGTGCCATGGAGACTAGGCTCAAATCAACGTGGATGGGAAGATTCTTCAACACATAAACCTAGGATAAATTGCTTTCAATTAATTTGGTTAATGGCAATTTTCATCTCTAAACCAACATAGATCAGCGAATACGAGCAAGTGTTTATCCAAATACATACTCGATGTATTCGAAAAGTTGTTAGCTGACTTGGGTAATGTCGTTCAGGTAGTATTTTTGTTTCCCAAGTGCACAGACAGAACTCGTAAAAAACATTTGGCAAAGAAAAGTCTGTCTTTAACGGTAACCTATTTCTGGGCGTTCAGCGCTGAACCGATTGTGAATGTAAGACATCTCTTCGGTCCTACCCTCTCCAATGCACTTGCCATGAGTTCTTCATAAGCCAACACGAGGATATACTGTATATATACCACAATAGCTAAAACTTCTACGGATTTCGCCTTCTCCATAGTCTTGAAAGAGTCATTTAAAATGCAGTCTACTCAGCCAAGCAATTCAATAAGCTAATGAAGAACTCGAAACATATCACAATCACATAGTAGACAGCTTCTTCAATCTTAAACCTCTTTGTGTATCGAACAATTAATGGGGCCGTTTAAGTCATGCTGTAGGACGAGCATGCGCACATAGAACGCACGACACATCCCTAACAGACTGATCAGTGCTGCGCGTTTTCGTGAACTTTTCCGTCCACTTAATAAGGAGGACTGGTCGCAAATTTCACATGGACTTTTGAATTGTGCCTGCTTCAAGTCAACGAAAAACCTGACTTTCAAGGCGAGGTACCGCTCTCTGCTGTTCATTTTTGGACTTTTCGAGTTTACCTAAAATACCTAAAGAATTTTCGTGTCGATGTGCCAAACTCCTGCAGCAAGATCATGACTCTGATTTTAAATTCTCCTCTGCTATGCGTTATGTTCTATGCGTGCTTAGTGAAGTCTATTGTTTTGCTTTAATCCCAAACTAAAAATGAGTCAAAGGTATAGTCCCAAGTCATGTTTTTCACTTCTCACTTTCACAGTCACTTTTCTAAAAATCTTAGCACCCTGTGTCAACAGAATATCTATATGATCTCATTCTAAAAAAATCGAACACAACAGAAAAAAATCAACTTTAACAGATCAACGTTTTTTCGTTGACACTTCGGCTGGTGGAATTTTCCCAGAATAGCGTTGTATAACAAAAGGTCTGCCTCTAGGTCTTGAATAGGGCGAAATCCGCCAGAATTCTAGTCATTTTGGAAATATGTTGCATTAATAAGCCTGTGTCAGCTTATCAAGGACACAAACTTATTGACGAATGCCGATTCTAAGGAACATTTCTCTTATGATCTCAATCTGCCTGTCTGTGCTGCGCTGAATGAACATATACCTTCCACTGCATGTGTTTGCCTACAAGAAGGTCGTATCGTGCACGTCGATTCGATTAAATCTTCCAACAAAATGACTGAAAGTGAATGAGATACGGCTCAAGGAATATCATGCACACATAGAAGGATAAACACAAATAAGCACAAGGCCTATTCCTGGAGAGCTCGAAAAGCCACCTCTAACTACACACAACTCTTACCTCGCCATAGCAAATTACTTGTAATTATCTTTTCGCCAAAAGCTAAAACTGAAAGATATCATACGAAAACTGGTGGCTTAGGTGTCCGTTACGGAAAAAAATTGGCTGAGAGAAAGGGAAAGCAAGGGTCAATGTTCCAATATGAAAATAATAGGCAGTGTATAAAAAGGCAAACATTATTTTTAAATCATTCAGATAAGCTTTGAAAGAAGTAAGGTAAAATGATGTTACGTTACATCTGAAGAAAAACTATGGAAAACATTGTTACACCAACGTTATATCTCTTTCATCTGGACCTCGCTTCAATCCCGTATGTGACGACCCGACGTGGACTTTGGTCCCGTCAATTTCACTTTGAGTAGCTCTGGATGTTAAACTTAGGCTTCGCATAGGCACCATCCTATAGAGGTTGGAAGATGTTGCCAGCAACATTAGAATAACTTCCTGAAAAGTAGATTTTTGCAGAGTGAAATCAGCAAGTTATTTGGTGGAAGAGAGCTTGACAGTCGAAATGCCATTCGTCACATATTTGTCCAATACTTGCTCCTTTCTCTAGTACAGAGTAATATACAAAAGGGACAAATGACAATATGATCATATACGGCTACTAAGTGTTCTCAGGAAGTTGTAGTTTATCGTGTTCAGATAAGTAAAGGATAAAAAAAGGGATAGAGCTTCCAACGTTGATCATTCCCTGAAGAATAACCTGTGAAGGTGATTGAATGCATATCTGGTCTTTACAATGACTCGTGGTGGCCTACCGATGTATTGAACCAATGCTGCTATCCTCCCAGATTAGTCTAATACCAATTCGCCAACCCAGGTGGGTTGGAAGGCTTGGTGAGCCACAGGGGCGGGGATCAATTTCATGTGTGTATTGCAGGGCGCTTCCGACCACTGCGCCACATGCGCCGTTGTTCAGATTCGTAGGCATAGCAACGTTCAATCTTTGTTGATGCCTGTAATTCTGGTTCTTTCTCTCCACTAGAAAAGTCCGACCGCATCTGCCAATGATCTTTGCTTGGTTGCGGCAAGTATTTCATCTCCGCAGTCTCTTGCTCTTTACTCTCTTTTCTACCAATTCCAACGTGCTTTAAGCTGTCGAGAAATGCAGCTACTGATGAGTGTTGCAGTTGACCATATATGCCTCAGATATTTCATTTCAATGAAACTGTTACTGGTACGACAAAGTCAAAGTATGCCAAATGAGCGACAATTTATCCCAATGAATCTTAACGATGATAGGCAAACAACAGGGACGTACGGATCTGCTTCGGGCGATACGTTTTCTAACCACTGAATGAATAAGCATGTATGACAACTGAAAGATAGGCATTTATTTCCTCACTCTTTACTGAGATACGGCTAACTGTTAAAGAAAACTATTGCAGAGCTAAACTAAAAGGAAATGTAAAGGATAAAAAAGGATAAAGCTCTCGACGTTGCCCAATCCTTGAGGGATGCACCATGCATCCGACCTCATTGAAGGATCGTTTGGAGGTGATTTAATGCATATCTGGCCTTTACAATGACTCGCGGTGACCTACCGATGTATCGAGCCAGTGCTACTATCCTCCCAGGCTAGTCTGGTACCAATTTTCCGACTCCAGAGAAATGGAAGGCTTGGTGAACCATGGGCGAGGGGCTCGATTCCACGCGTGTGTTGCAGGGTGCCTCCGACCACTGCGATACACGCGCCTTCTTAAAAGTTTAGCACTAGGAATTTTTGATTTAAACTTTTTTAAAGAAAATGTAAAATCCAGTATAGCTAGCATAGCTCAAACTATTTCTCTATTCGGGTTTATTATAATACCCAAGTACAAATGGTAATAGATAACTTGTGCAACAGGAAAGCAAACAAATCATAGACTCTCATCGATAACGGCAATAAAACTATTCTAAGACAAGAAACCTTTACCAAAACTGTAAACGGGCTTCCTCACGAGGGCCACGTCGTGTTGGGGCTATGGGTCGGGGAGTCACATTTACGTACTCTGTGCTTCTACCGTATGAAACAGTGCAGTGGTAATTATTATAGTTTAAGATATATATGTATTCTGCAAATTTCCTGGATATATTATCCCTAGTTTGGTGTAAGGGATTGTAAGGTTGATGTGCTAAGTGACTAAGGAACTGTCAGAATCCATGGATCAGGTGGATTTAACCGTAGTGACAGAGACCCTATTCGAATCAGCATGAGTAGAGGGATTTCATGCTGAATATTACCGTAGATCGAAATATGGTCAACTCAGCGGGTAACTCAAGGTATGACTGCTTTGATAACCGTCGAGAATTGTATGTTCTTTCACTGGCCAACTTTGTAAATTGTCAAAGCCCACTTTAAGTTCTCCCTTTTATTGTCTTCGTGTTGTTTTCTTTTATATTACAACGTATTGTTCATGACGTCTTTGTGGAGAAAGATTTTGTTCTGAATTTCTCCTAGCTGGGTGGGGTTGTGCGTAGCGCACCAGTTAAAGGTGGCTTGCAGTACACACGTGATGTTTGGCCCGATCCCACACACCATCCCAGGAGGCACCCGTACCACCGGAGTGCTCAGATTGGTAGTAGACTCTCCAGCGAAAGTAAAAATTCTGATTATAATTTTCAAACCGACTGTCATCAACATGTTTGTAAATAGCTGAGCTTACACGAGTTCCATAACAGTGTTTATTTTGGCTAACGTTTCGACATCTTCCTCTTCATCAGAGCCGGTGATCCGAGTCGATAGTGGACCATCGACTCACATCTTCGGCTCCGTTTATTATGTTGTTAGACCCTTATTGTGTTTTTAGAGGCCAAATATGCATTCAGTAACGTTTAAGATGATTGATAAGATCAAAGGTACGGTACATCCGGAAAGGATTGATCAACGCCGAATTCATAATCTCTTTATTCAGCTAAACAGCTTCAAAAAGGCTTGTCGCATCTGTAATTCACTTGGGTGTGTCTGAGGTGCTAGAGTCTTCGTGAAAGTTCTTTTTTCAGAATAAATGTATATTTGCTACGTTTAAATTTTTTAGGGACAAGCTAGGAGCAATACGTCTTTCCATTCCTAGGCAAGTTTACCGTAAACCGACTCTACAGTGGGCTAAAGTGTGTTGGTGTCTTGTCTCCCTGCGCTGGCTATCCTCTATCCCCGCATTGTATTCATTCGTATCTTCGTTGTCCCTGGTGATGACGTATGTTTCAGTTTCAGAATGAGCGCATGTTCCAGTGAAGTGGACGAGAACGCTCCAATCCACACGCTGCCATACGAAACCATGCGTGATTTGAGCCGGGTTCTGGATGGAGGCGACGAATGGGTTGAACTAGGTAGGGAAGTATTAAAGATTCTAGGTGTGTTCATATGAAACAGTAATAGTTAGCAACTTGACTTTTATTCTATATAGTAATCATAACTAATATCTGGATGTACTTGTCATCTTTGGGTGCATATATATCAATCTCAACAAAAATGCTGCTGTTTCGTCCCGCCAACCTTGAGGTTAAGAGCGCATGTTGCGCAGTGGTCGGAGGCGCCATGCAACGCACATATGGTGTGGATCCCCGCGTCTCTGGCCCACCAAGCCCTCTATACCTCTTTGATCGGGAAATTGGTCTGGGAGGGTAGCAGTACTCGCTCGATACATCGGTAGGCCACCATGGGTCATTGTAATGACCAGGTGTGCATCCAGTCACCGCTAACGATGCTTAATGAAGTCAAATACATGGCTTATCACTCAAGGATTGATCAACACCGAAAGCTTTATCCTTGAAGTTGTGTTTCAGATCATATCCTACCATGAAGAAAGAATACGCAGTAAATTAAATGTTCCTGTTTTGTTTACAGCGACTTGGATGCCGGATATCACCACTCACGATGTGGATGGTTGCCGCCAGTTCAGTTCCTCTCATCGCGGTAGCCCATCGGAATACTTGCTGAGGATTTGGGCCAGTAAGGGATATTCGATTCTGAGCCTGTACAATCTTTTCGCGATCACACGGATGGTGCGCTGCATGCGCATTATTCGTCACTTATGTAGGTGTTATCATATTTTACTTCCTCGTAAATTTAGACTCACTTTGAACAGCTCTAAATCACCACAGAAGCGAACGGAATTTCTACTAGTAATCTCTGCAGTAGGCACGTGTGACGCACTGGTCGGAGAGGCACTGCAACACACATGTTATCGATCCTCGTGCCCCTGGTCCCCAAGGCTTCCATTCTCCGGGGTAGGCACATTGGTACCAGACTTGTCTGGGAGGATAGCAGCACTGGTTCGAAACATCGTCAGGCCACCGCGAGTCATTAAAAAGGCCAGATATGCATTTAGTCACCTCCAACGGCGCCTAATGAAATCGAATGCTTGGCGCATCTCTCAGGAACTGATCAAAGCCAAGAGATTTTTTATAGCTTTTTAACCTCTGCAGTCAGTGGACCATGTGAGTATCTCGATCTCATCTACAATATTTGTATATGTTTAGTGCCAGAATCGCATCATTATCTCGAAGAATATGATCTCTCTGCGGAAAGCAGCGGTCAGCCCTGCTTCACTCCCAGTGCACAGCAGTGGAAATGGAGTCATGTGCGACACAGACTGTTGTTGTTTGTGCTTATCCTTTTTGGGATTACTGTTTTGCAAATTGAGTTTCTTGTCATATGAAACTTACTTCTGTTTCTCTTTAGGTTCCACTGAAAGCTAGAAAAGAAGACCACATTCAACACGCATTACTGGTGCGAGCTACTGGCAGTACGCAGAAATCCTGGGTAAATCCGACGACTACTGAGTCCTCTTCTTCTGGGTGACTGCAAATATTTTTCGTCTCTCTCTGAAAATCCTGTCTTTTATCAGCTAAACGTGTAGTTCTACGCGATTCATTTCCAGAAATATGTTGGATCCAATCTGGTCAGCTTTGCAGAATACTCTCATCGTACCATACACTGATTTACAGGTACTTGTTCACCTTAAGCCATCGCGGTGTCTAATCTTAGCTGTATCACCGTGCTTGTTCTATTTAGGAAGCTACATCGAATTTCTCGGACGAGAACATCGTTGGCAGAGGTGGATACGGTGTCGTTTATGTTGGCGAATGGAAGCATACCAAAATAGCAGTGAAGCGGTTTATGGCAAATGGAAGCAGATGTGGCCAAGTTGGTTTAATAGCTACATTTGTGGTTAAAACTATGATCAACGTGATGAAAACGTTGTTTTAGATCCAACGCGAACGCTTACGACAGAGTCTTCAGGAGCTGCGTACACTTGCGAAGTTCCGCCATGACAATATCCTGCCTCTGTATGCGTTTTCACTTGAGGGTCCGGAACCCTGTCTTGTTTATCAGTTCATGTTCAATGGATCTCTGGAGGATCGTCTCTCATGTCGGGTTTGTGCTCTTTTCCTAGCAGTTGGATTAGTTGATTAAGTGTTTTCTTTCTGAAAGTTGGAAACACTATTGTTTTCTTTCACGAGCAACTTTTGTCTTTTGATAGGTGTCTTAACCGTGGTTGAACTGGAATGTTTTTTGGTTATTTCATAGTGGAATGTGTTGTTCTGGATTTTGATGGTTTCAGGGCAATACTCCACCGTTATTATGGAGGCAGAAAAGGGAGATTGCTGAGGGTACTGCTAGAGGACTGCATTTTTTGCATTCGATGGCAAGCGTGCCGATTATTCATGGAGATGTGAAATCTGCTAACATACTGCTTGATAAACATTTTGAACCGAAGCTGGGGGATTTTGGTTTGAGTCGTGATGGACGGGTACGTATACGCATAGTTCATGTGGAATGCTTTGAATTAGATGCTATTTTTTAGGCTTTTTCATTCTCAACGATCTTAATTATCTGCTAATCTTGGTTATTTAAGAGGACAAGTTTATGGTCCATTCTTCCCAACGTTCAGGTGGAAGTCAACGCGGAAGAAAAATCTCCATTAATAGCATCACATGTGAAGGGAACCCTCGCGTATTTACCACCAGAATTCATTACAAATAAGATCTTGTCTACCAAAATTGACGTGTACAGCTTTGGCATCGTTCTTCTTGAGATCGCTACCGGTAATATCTGACTACTAAAACAATAGTGCGTTTTCAAATGATAGCCAGAGGTTTGTTTGCAGGAATGCGTGCTTTCACGGATTCACGTTCCCCTCCGAGTTTAGCTGACTACTGCTTCTCCGTCGTAAACCGTCAAAAAAGTACTTCAGTGGAGTCGTCTGTTTGGGAAGTATTAATGGACAATCGTACTCCATCTGTTGACAATCAAGGTTGTCTTTTTGCTGACATTCTCTGTTTCTGGAAAAGCGCTATTTTTCAGATGGCGCTATGTCATGGTGTAAAGGAATCATATGTTTGGGTTTACAATGTGCTAACAAGGATCGGCTACTTCGCCCATCTTTCCCAGAAATACTGAGCTCGCTCTCGAGTTTAACCTTTTTTGAGTAAAGTTTATTCCACGATTGTCATTGATTTGTTACCTCCACAAATGTAGACTGCATTACTGGACTAGTTTCTATTGGGCTCTAGTACTGTTGTATAAGTGATACCACCAACAACTTTAGTGAGTGGGTTATATTTAGTGCGGGTACATTATGTTCTTACATGGCAACATTGATATATGTCGTTTTCCTTTTGTAAATCTGCCATAGGTGGTTTTTTTATTAAGATAGTTATAAATCTTCTTATGTGGTAGATGTTTCTTATTTTGGGTGTTCCTGCTTTTGAAATATTTCCATGCAAATATTGGTGCCGTTGAGTTAGTCTTCGAGCTAAGGTCTGTACTTTAAATCATTTTTTCTTAGGTTAGGTATGTCTAAAAGATTGCGACGTCAACGTTCGAGAACTTCTACTAATGATGTTTTGGGGTGTGTTGTCTATTACTTCTGAATATTCTCTGTTCACAAGTTTATGGTCTATTGGATAAGGAGAGTTTCAGATTAGAAAGTCGTACGTTCCGTTGTAGAAGCTCTAGTATGGTTGTTATGTTGCTGTTTCCTGGTGAACGGTACTGCTTCTACGGCGCAGCACGTATTCAGTGCTTAGGTTGGTAATATCTGTAAGCTCATATCTGACGGGTGATTGCTGATGATAGCAGCGTTAGGCAGAAAGCTAGGTGGAATAAACGTAATGCAAAGTCGTCAGTGGTGCAGTGTATAATATCCGAGCCCTCGGAAAGGGTAATCGTGGTTCGATCTGGCCTGGCGTCTAAGTTTTGCGAATGTCTCAGCATTTTTGTGGTCTGTAAGCTTATTTCACATATGTTGCAGTGGAAATAATCTCCGTATTTTATTACAGCTGGTGAGCTTTCTGTTGATAGCTTTAAACTGCCTTCTGATGGCCAAGTGGATTTCGACTCAATGCGTCTCGTTTGCGCACCGTATCGCTTCTCACGACCGGTAGTATTTTAAATGGTGCGGAGAATATTTCTCGTGAAATTTCCTCTATCGTTCACTTTGACACCTCTTGTACCCATCATGTATTTGTATTTATTGTTCCTGTCATGCAAAATATCGTATTATGATATACTTGACACAGCGCGCGTTGCTGCCCTACATTCACACCCCTTAACCATCGGTCACACCACTAGGGTGCTACCGGACATGGCTCATTACTTGGGTTCTAGACACTACGACCCGCGCCTTGACCCTGCGACCATTCTCTTGATGTGCAGCAGCCAAGCGTCGTTGTCTCAAGTATTTTATAATGCAACATGTCAAATGACAGGAATAATAAATACAGTTACATGATTGGTGCAAGTGGTGTTAAAGTGGAGGGTAGAGGGTGTTTCACGAGAAACATTCTCTGTAGTTGGTAGCTTTATATTGTAGTGTTGAAATCTAAATTGTTTGACTTGGTTTTTGAAATGAAAGCTATTCTATGCATATATTCTATAGATATATTTTGAGGCGGTTTTTCGCTCTCGTGCAATCCGGGAGCCGTTTGTTAAGTACAAACTTAATCGGTTGAAGTATCGACTTAAAGAGGTACATACCTCCCATTTTTGTTTTTTAAATACCTCCGCATTGCGAGGTTGTGTTGGAGTCAGAAAATGACACTTTTCTGTTCGTAGATAACACCACACTATGAAGTTATAATGGAGTCAATAGGTGGTATATATCCTGCCGTGCTCGTTCTTGATTATAAACCACCACCGATGGTCAAAGTGCTGGATCAAATTCTCCAGGTACTCGTTTTCTATTTTCACGTGTTCATGTTTAAACATATCTGTTTGTATAGGAATTCCTCGTCCCTTCCTTGTTACGGTCGCCTTGTCAATTCGATCGCACACTGTTATTTGCTTCTGAGTTTCAACCGTATGTGGAAGAATCGCAAAGGGATCTGCAAGTGGCGATGGAGGAGGTCAATGCAAAAAGAAGTGTGTTCGGTTCTGAAAAAAGAAGCAATAGTTCTTAGTTCCATTTTTTCTTATCAAAATCCAACTTACTATTTGGTTGTTCTGGTATTAGTATGGGGTTTTGAATTTCATTTTTCTTCCGTATACTTTAACAATAGCTTCTTTTCCTGCAGATGCGGGACTATTACGTACTACTACGAAGTTTTTTTTGACAGTTTCAAGGTTAAACTTTCAAATATCAAAGATTGACGTATTTAATCCTACGACTTCCTAATCGGATATAAGCAGCGAAGGAGTCGAAACATTAATAAAGTATGGTGCTAAGGAAGTGTTAAGAACGCACAGTGCGACGTTCGTTGCGAAAAAATCACTGTGGTGAATTCGATATTGAGATGGCGGATGTCCTTCTGCTAATAACGACGATGAAGTGAAAGCTTTAATGTTTGCAAATACACCTACAACTGTTCAAAAACTTAGAATAGAAATCAGTGCAGACCTCTCAACTGTTCCAGAGCATCTAAAGAGATGTCTAAAGTCGAAGAAGCATGAGAAATTGATACTGAATGAATTAAGTGACAGTCCAACAAGTCGCCGTTATGAGGTATCTATGGAGCTTCTGTGCAACCAGATCCTATTTCTTGGTAGTATTGCCACAGTCGGTAAGAAGTGGATGCTGTATAACAACCGGCGATGGTCTCCACCGTGGGTGGACAGCGATGAAGCTCCGCAGCACTTCCCAAAACCGAAATTGCATCAGAAGGTCCTGCTGACCGTTTAGTGGCGTACACTTCTGGTTTGATCCACCACAGTTTCTTGAATCCTGGTGAAGCAAATACGATTACGAACATGTCCGAGGAATTAATGAAATTAGCACATACTGCAGCGGATGCGTCTCTCATCCGTTAACAGAAGCACCAACCCTTTTCCACGATAAGGCACGAACACGTGTCTCACTACCGATGCTTCAGAAGTTCAACTAGCTGAACTTCGAAGCACTGCCTCATCCCCCATACTGGGCAAACCAATTGCCTACCGACTACCACTTCTTCAAGCACTTCGATAACTTGTGCGAGAAATGCTCCAGAAACAAAGTCGAAGCGAAAACTGCTTTCAAACAATTCACTACCTCCAGAATTTCTGAATTTTACCAACTGCTGTAAGGAAGGTAGTTTCTCGTTGACAAGGATGTGTAGATTCTATTGGTTATTTCGACTAATAAGCTTTATTACAAGCTGAAACAAGAGTGCGCGTAGTGTGTAACTTAGAGGCGCCCCTATAACACACATGGGTACGATACCGCTCACCAAGCCCACCAAGCCTTTCATCCTACCGGGGTCGGCGAATTGCTACTAGTACCAGATTTATCTGCGAAGATAGCAGCGCTGACTCCATACATCGGTGGGCCACCGCAAGCCATTGTATAGGGCAAGTATTCATTCATTCACGTACACCAATTGTTGATAGGGTCAAATGCATAGCGCATCTCTCAGGGATAGATCAGTGGCGAGAGCTCTATTTATTTATTATTTATAAGCCGAAATATACCATTTTGAAAACACAAGTTTTAGTTAGGCGTTAATTTCCGTTCAAGGTAATATGGATAGATTATTCAATGTTTCATAAAAGTTTGCTTGTCGTTTGATTGCGGTGGTGGAGCTCTGAGTATTTGAATAACACTTTCTAAATATGTTGACATATTTTATTTGCAGAGGAAGGCGTACGCTGTACCATTGTACCGGTTGGACGGACACGTTCTGGGAAGTCTACTCTTGTTCGTCATCTAGTAAACACCAACTTTGAAAAGTTTGTCTCTTGTTCTGTTTTCTTCGTGCTATTTGTAACTTTCTGCTGTTTTGTTTGTAGGGAAGGACCGCCTATTTATATACTAGACGCTGACGTAGGTCAATCCGAGTTCACACCAGCTGGATGCATGTCCCTTTGGAAAGTTTCAGATGGTATTCTTGGTAGGATTACTTATTGATCTCTTGAAACATCCAAGTATTTGTTGATATTTTTTCGCATGGACAAGATTTACTAGCATAAATCTCGGATATTTTTTTCGTTTTTTTATATGTCTTTTTTACTCATGGATTTTTACTGCATAACAAATTTTCTTATCGAGGAGGTATTGAATGATTGAAACGTCTATGAACTCTGTTCAAATAGAACATTGCACTGTCTAATTCTGGCGCTTAATTGCACTCTAGTTCACACGTATCTAAGTCTTGTTTCGTATAATAACTCCCACGACTGGCTGTGTATTAACCTCAGCATTGACTGAACTATTCTTTATTTTCTTGTTTAGCAACTTCTTAATATGTTAACTTACTACTTTTTAGTATATTAACGCATTCACAACTGTGAGCTAGATAAAGCTCAAAGGTGAGGAGTATAACGAATCGACTGAGTCGTGCATAGCTAATGTTTGTTGTATCTTTTCTGTAGCAACAACCTTGCAATAGTAACCTATAGTTGTACCTTTTCTAACAGATCGACGGGTTTCGCTGCGATGGAAAATCGGATATAGTCGTATGCCACATTTCCGAAAATGCCAAGACTTCACAAACGTGTGGAGCTTATGAAGAAAACCGCAAATTTCAAACAGTGAAAATGAGAGCTCTTTCTGCAAAGTCATCAAGATCACTTCTTTGGAACGGGCAACTAAGCAAAACACTCGACACGTTATTCTGTGTTTGTAAAGCTCCGGGCGGCAAGTGCCTGCGGTGGGGATCGAACACGCTATCACCCTTTTCGGGGGCTAACGCGTTCACTACCGCACCATGCGCGTCCTTAGAACAAAAACTCTCGTATTATGCAAATAGATCAGCATCGTTGTGGTTGACTTCGCCTGATCCCTTTTTGTGGAAATTGTATTAAGCAGTAAATAAAAAAAGTTACCAAAGGGATTAACACTCGATGCATACACTTTCCATCGTCCATGGCCGTTTTTTCTTCCACGGGAGAATTCTCCATAGTTCTTGCGATCTAAAAGTTCAAAATTCCAACCAAATTTAGTTTGACTCAAATTGACAGGTTTATAAGCGCTCTCATCTCACACTGATGAAGGGGAATCGGAGAGTCTGTTTCGAAATCTGTACAAATTCCGAAACATCTTAGTGCCCTCTTCGCCAACGGTCAGTGTGGTACTCTATTTCTTCAACAAGCAGGAAAATGGTCGGAGCAGTTTTATTGGAAGATTTCTTTTCTTTTGTATACTTACTGCATAGTGCAGTAATAGCTCTTTTTTGCAAACGTTTGATGGGAGGCCGTATCTCTAAAAGAAGGGAAACTAACCACAGAAAATTTGCGGTAGAAGAAATCACTAGGCAAGAATGTGTTGCACATGAGTCATTCAGTTTCAGATGTAGCCCTGCTCACTGATAAGTCATATATGAGTAGTATTGTCTAAATGTGTTAATAGTTCATTCATTTCGGTTACTACTTATCTGAATTGTTTCAGATGTCCCATGTACACATCAGAAGTTAATTTTTCCGTGCTGTTACTTTTTCGGGAACGTCTCACCTGCGGATGACACCGAGAGGTACAAGGTATTAGAGTATAATATATTCTGAGAATTTAAATTGACACGGCGAAATAGCACATACAGATTACGTTGCCTCAAGAATGATATCGAGTGTTGTTGTGAATTTTGCCAGTAGTTCTTACTTTGCTTGTCACCTTTGTTTTTTTGCTTTGTTTGCCGTATTGTATCATTTCTAACACTTAATTTACGTTGACTAAGGTGTTTGGTATGGTGCTCTCTAATCAGCACATTCGCATTGCTTGACTTCACGATTCAAACTTGGACATATTTCCATAGAAGCAAGAAGCATAGAAGCGTAGAACAACAACATCCTCTATAAAATATAAAATAACTTCACAATAAGATTTAGCAATTCTAAAACAATATTTTATTTTTTCCCAACGGTTTACCGCCTCATCGTGGCTGGGAGGTGCTCCCGGGTGTCGGACTACGATGTACACCGGAGGACTTATCGCCCGGGAGGGTCTTCCAAGCTGAGAAGTCCGGTGTTTTCATCAGGAAGCCCAGGTAAGAGTAAGCCAATACCAGAATCCACCACCGTCCTGATATCAAACTAGTCGCATGGTGAGAATCTCCTCCTGGTCCAGAAGGGCGGCGGCTGCCTGTGGTGGTGACAACCTCGGGCAGATTTTGGCCAGGCTGACCTCGGGACTCCAGAGAACCACAATGGCTTTACCAGCAAATCTCCGAAAAATGAAGATTTTGCTGTGGCCCACACAAGCAGTGAGGACGGGCCATTCAAGTATCAAGTAAGTAATACCTTATTTTAGTTGACGTGAAAAGGTTTCGATAAGGCGAAAGTATTTCGTCGAAAGTGGGTAAACGACGTGAACCTTGGCCGATTTGGCTAATGCTTGGGGGAAAAATCGTCTTCGGTTGAACGTTTACGTATTCATGAGGAACGGATTGGTTTGTGCTCATTCAAGCTCAAAGAATCACGTATCATAACACTCCAAACATGTTTTGTAGTCGGAAAGTCAGCATCATGAACGGCTTTGTCACAAAGCTAAACAGGAGAAGACGAGTGGATTAGAAAGTCTATCAAAACATCGAGGATGTATTTAATAAGGCAAGGAACACATGGCTGCTCTACATTTTCAACTTTCCATAATAAGGTCCTTTCCTATCACATACTTTCCTAGGACCCCGTCCCGAGATACTTAGCACCTCTTGGCATTCTAGTGAGAGCCACATTTGACTATCATTCTGCATGTCAGTTTCAGTGTATGTAGTAGAATGAGTAAAGGCCATATATTGTAGAACTGTAGCTGAATCCGTGTAGGTACCGGACTTTATGGACGAAATTTGCTATAAAACGAATTATGTGGAAGAAGTGTTGGGAAGTACCCCTTATGTATGGTGGCATTCCGCTCGCTCAAAAGAAGCACATCGCGTTGGATGTTTGGTAGTCAGGTATCTACTGTGCAGACCAAATGTACTCATGGATAGCTTGCCTGTAAAACTTTTTGGGAATAAAAATGTGTGCCAATTTGTTGGAGGTTGGCTCGACCTGCACCTGCTTTACTATTCAATTACTGGATTGTGAGACAGGCTCCCGAACGAAATGCGAGATACACTCCTTATAGGACTACGCTCATGTGGACGAATGTGCTTACGTACATACTGAAGGTCTAATTAAGCGTATCCGAAGCAATAGATCGCTTGGTTTTTCGTAAATTAATGCAGGATTCAAAACGATGGAAATTTTATGCACTAAATTATTTCAGTCAGCCCGACATTGTAAATTAAGGCTTAGAAGAGGTATTGCGTGGTTGATAGTCAACCAAGAAACAACCTTGAGAATAGTTTATACCAACTATACGAGCAAGAGGTTTATACTAGTATACATTGTACACAATTTTTAGCTTTACAAGTCCCAGATCCATTCCTTCTTCAATTAAGGAGATTTTCGACCAACTTTTAAACGATTTCCATTCAAGCAGTAAACCCGGATCGTTGCTTATAATAAACACGCTGGGCTGGGTGGACGGTAAGCCTTCATGCTGTCTCATACAATTTTTAACGATATTTCGTTGAATCTGGTCGATTGGAATATGTAGGGCTGGGAGCTCAACTTCTCGAACACATATTCGACATAGCTCAACCTTGTTTGGCGTTCAGTTTGTCAAATGATTGTGGGATTTTCACTGTAAGTGTTCATACTTATTGAATGTTTTTCTCTTCCTAACAACTTCGATTTTGTACAGATTCCGCGCTGGGTGCCTAAAATACTTCGTATTTATCCCATGACTGCGACCCCATCATGCCACTTGGAACTGCCTGAAAAGTAGGACAACTTATGGTATGTAATGTTCTTTTACTGTGGCTTACATCCTATTTTCTTAGAAGGCCTATTTCTCTGCAATCCTGTCAATTGCGAGATCTTACAATTATCTCGTATTTCTCATCCGTTCTACCACGACCAGTACTTTCGTCTATATGTGATGCAACACCTTACTCCGTGAATTTTAAGTAAGTTCATTTTCTTTCCCAAAGGATTTATTCCTTTTGCGTTTTCCTTTTTACCAGTGTGCAGGTCTACATACAGAGGCTAGCCTAATAAGTGTAGATTCTTTTACCGTCTGTCTAGTGGCTTCTTTTTATCATTTCACAATTTATTTCATGCTTATCACTGTGTGTGTCCCAGAAGATTACTCTTATGTTGATGATCGATATTTTTTGGCCACACTCAATGTACAAATTGTTGCTCTGTGTTCGAAAGCAGATGGACAGTCTTTGGTAGGTCAACTTTAACATCTTACATTGTGGCTAAACCTACTGTTAAACTTCATACATTTACTTTGCTAAGTAATTAGAATCACGTTTTTAAACCCTATCTGAAAGCTTTGCAGTTCACAGCAAATCTTTGTGTTGGCTTTTTTGCCGATAATCTGGTCCTTGCCTTCCAACGGTTTACCGCCTCATCGTGTGTGAGAGGTATGAAGCGGGAGACTTATCTGCCCAGCAGGGTCTCCCAGGATAATACCGGCGTTCCCACCAAGACGCTCAGTAAACCAACACCAGGATCTCCCATCGTCCTGGTATCAAACTAGTCGCATGGTGGCAAATCTTCCTCTCATACACAAGGACTGCGACTGTCTGTGGTGGTGAAGACTTGGGATAGACTATAGGTGGGCTGTACACGTGACTTCAGAGAACCACAATGGCTAAGCCATCAGAAGTCTGAAAATTTTTTCTGGGGCCCACACAAACAGTGAGTACAGGTCATCCAAGTATCCAGGTAAGTATTTTGGTCCCTGAACAGATGAACTTTTATGCATTTTTTTGTCCAACAACTCCAGAGTTCTCCAAATCTGTTGATTTCGTGTACAATCAAATTTTCAGGAAACTCGACGAATTTTGAGTGACGATTCGCTCCCTTTAGTGTCCATTATTCGAGGTGGTTCTCCAATTCTCAAGTGTCATGGCTTTGGTACGTTATTTGTGGGTTAGTTCAAGTCCCGCTGGAGTTTTAATTGCGGGCATCATAGGAATAATAAGAGCTGTCGACTTAGAGAAGAAGATATTTTATGTGATAACGCCTGTACCGTTATCCGAACTTCCAAGGATTACAATATTTGCCAGGGGAACAGGAATACTGGTACCTCAATTGTTGTTGGAATCACAGGTAAAAATCTTCAAAGTTGACTTGTCAGTAATGGATATTACTTGGCTTACTTGGGAAATATTTTCGTTTAGCCGGCTGCGAATGTGCCGTATCTATCTCGTCCTGCTCGTGCATCAAAATCTGGAATAATTTCTGATCTTTATGCCGGACTTAGAAACGTCACCTACCAAAGACGAGAATATTTCCCACAGATCGTTTAGTCTGTTCTCTTCCAGCGTTCGCGTTCTTTAATTAGTTTTCGGACATTTTTGTTATTGTTGTTGTTACGTAACTGTGTCTTCTTGGATTGTTATTTTCCTGAAATAAATAGGACCAGTTATACGTACCGACTACGTACGTGGATTTTGTAGTAAATAAGCGATATTGGTTTCAGGAAAATGATACGTTTATAGTACTGGACTTCATCTATATAGGATTTTTTTAGCACTTTGGGAACCAAATGGTACGACGATTACTTTTGTGTTTTTATGGATTTGCTGGTTCTTGACAATAGATGCCATCTAACTAGAAAACTTGGGGGACTGAGCACATGACAATGTCTTGGAACTTTATACCTCTAGATGATGCATAGTACGTATGCCACTATTTAATTTAAATTCATTAGACCGACTTATGGCTCTAACGCTTTGGAGCTGTTTGGCAGCTTACACCGAATCTTCTATTTTTTATACCGGGCCACTCCATACGATAACCACGGTTTATCACAGCGATATGGGCGCGTGTGGAGCAGTGGTCGGAGGCGTCCTGCATTACACATGGGATCGATTCCCACGCCCGTGGCCCACTAAGCCTTCCATCCCTCCAAGGTTGGCAAGTTGGTACCAGGCTTTTCTGGGAGGAGAGCAGCACTGGCTCGATACATCGGTAGGCCACTGCGAGTTATTGTAAAGGCCAGACATGCATTCAATCACCTACAACGACGCCTAATGAAGTCGAATGCATGACGCATCCGTAGGGATTTATCGCGCCGAGAGCTCTATGCTTTATCATTTATTCTTTTACCACAGCGAGTGGAATTGATATAATCTTCACAAGTAACTGGTCAGTGAACTTATTCGTAAAAATGTCATGTAAATTACTAAGTACAGAATGGAACTTTTCCCGTTCGAGGTTTCCCACAAAATTTGTGTTAGAAAAGCGATTGAATTATTACAAAAAGCGGAGCAAAAAAATCTCCATACGGCAAAATAAGCAGTCGAAAACAAAGTGAGCCATACGTGACTCATTCGACGAGATTGTCCCCCAACTCGTTCATTACATATGATGCATCGCTTCACCATTGTGTTAGAAATACCCAAAAACTATGCTTGTATAAGAAGAGAAATGCATTGGAAGAAAAAGGTGACTTAGAACAATATCGAGATGTCGAAATAGCAGAAGTGACATGGTGACAACGGCTCTAGACACTTTCCATGGATTTGTATGTACTCATGGCAATAAGCATTAATTTTAGGAGCATGGTCCTCAGTGGCCCCGTCCTTATTTTCATGTCGATCAATCTTGTGAATGGGACTTAACAAGTCAACACCTTAAAACAACATTACATGAGATTAATAACACGTTTTTTGTTGAAAGTAACACTTCTCCGTTGATTATCGATGCGGCGCCTAACATAGCACCATCGTGGCAGTTGGGCGGTAAGTTGTGTTGTGCTCGATTTCTTCTCAAGTAAAATATTCGTATGCAATTCAATAAACTTTGGGTGAGTACCTGTTTAGTTAACGTAGTTTTTATATCATCCGGCTTGAAAAATTATTCCCTCAATTGAGGTATTGTCTCGACGATCAACTCATCTACTAGATACATCTTTGTATTTTCCAGAGTGACTATCGTACGAAAAATGGGACTAAAGCTGTCGCGTTTGCGCCTCATGTGGTTCGGTCGAAAGCCGTGCAGAGTACTAATGGTAGTTTCAAATCACCAAACAGGATAGCGAGAAAATATGGGCGTTGTGTGACTATCCATATTTATATTTTTGCACAGTATCTTTTTCAGGTTTACTGCCTTTATCCAACAACTGCGTAAAAAGCAGCTCTTACTCTTAACTGCTTAAAACCACCTGTATCAACTGTCGCCCTGGATCGTCGAGCGACTCGAGCGCGCGCCAGTACACCTTCCATCATATCATTTCTCCCCGTAGCATGCAGGAGTGGGCCGCCCAGTGGGATCTGCTCGCTCTAGGGACTCGTTGAGCAACGCATCCTTCTTCTAGGGTTTTCGTCAAGAACTCTGACCATCGGGTTGGTGGTCTTCCTGCAGTACGTTTGAAATCCACGCACTAACGACTCTTGTCTATCGGTTGTCGTTCATACGCATAACGTGTCCGATTCATGTTATCTTCGACAGTTAGGCGCATAGAACGACGTCTTTGTTTTCTAATCGTTGACCCTGGATCAGGGTTTCGGATTCTCTCTGATACTCCTAATATAGTCACTTGACTTCACGTCCAATAACGTTAGTGATCTTTCATCAAGTTTACCAATCGACGAGGTTTCTCACGCATGCGTTAAGGCAGGGAGAATCGTGGAATCGAAAAACTGAGCACGGAGTCAGATGTATTTTGTTCTCTTCATCGCATCCTGCTCTTGAAAGCTCCCCAGGCCGCTTGCTTCCTCCTGTTCAACTCTGGAGTAGGTCGATCATCATGTTGATTTCGAGATAAAGGCAGACATGATTTGTGTATTCGGAGATCTTAGTAGCGTTGAGCGTGAATGAGGCATACGAAACCAATCCATTTCTCATGAACATCGTTTCTGTGAGATTTAGTGGAAGATCATTTTTTCAAGTGTTCATAACTACCTTTCCAAAAGCCGGCCAGGGATCTGTACAAACCCCGTCTTGCAATTGTTTCGAAACTTTTTTTTTTCAAAATTTTGTGAAAAAGAAAATCTTGCGCGGTGAAGATTGTCGAATTAGATGACAAGTCTGAGCTGTTGTATTCTGTTTAAAATTGCCAAAGTTAACATAGAACGCAACATTCTAGTACTTGTTGGAGCTTGTTGTTGGGGGCAGGTAACGGCGAGCATCAAAGCCTGCAGTGATCCACAACTTTTCAATCGCGAACGAACGCGAATAGCTAGTGTTTAGAGGAATCGAGCTTTATGGTCGTGTTCTTTACAAGGATAACGACGGCCGCGACTTCTGTTATCGCATGTTCCCAGTGATAGCTCCTTTCGTCTACTACCAAGGGCTGAAAGACAAGGCGTTCTGCTTTGATTAATAATTAGCTATGCTATGAATGCTAAGAAGAAACTTAGAGCATAAACGTTAAAAATCAAACATGAGTTGTAATTCAGACAAGGTGATAGTTGCGCACAGATCAGACACCCATACTTTCCAACTACATTATAGTTAACCCACATACTATGCTAATTTACTTTTAAGGTTGGCTTGGACAATGCCGGAAAGACTACAGTGTTATATAAGCTTAAACTTGGGGAAGCGACTACTACCATACCAACAATTGGTAGGTGGCAGTGTACCATAACACAGTTCGTACAACACTGACATCGAATTCCTCGTTCTTAAAGAGTAAGGGCGTAACTACGAATTTTTAAGGATTCAACTTAGAAACGGTGGAGTATCGCAACGTTTCATTTACGGTATGGGATGTGGGGGGACAGCAACGAATTCGTGCGCTCTGGAAATACTATTTCCGCGATACTGACGTGAGTGTTAAGGTTATTACCACACTGAGCTACAACACTGTTGACACCAAGACGTCAACTACCGTGAGATGTACTTACTTGGATACTAGGATAGCCCGTCCTCACTGGTTGTATGGACTTCAGCATAATCTCCATTTTTTCGGTTTAGCCATCGTGGATTCCTTGGAGTTCCAAGGTCAGCCAGACCAAAGTCTGCCTCAGGTCGTCACCACCACAGGTAGTTGCCGCCCTTGTGGATCAGAAGGAGATTTGCCACCATGCGGCTAGTTTGGTACCAGGACGGTGACGGATCCTGGTATTAGTACTACAAAATTTACAGGAAAAAAACCACGCCACAACATGATGGTCTAGAGGGCTAGAACAGTTCGTCTTCAAGATCTATGCAGTCTTTCTAATTAGCTATCTGTTTATTTCAGGCAATTATTTTTGTTGTGGACAGCGCTGACAGAGAACGCATTGAGGAAGCGCGCCAAGAGCTCCACTCACTCATTGATGATCCGGAGTTGCGTGGTTGGTGATCTCGCTAAGAAGTCTGAGTCTCAAACTGAACTGACCCTAATAAATTGCTTGAAAATCTATGTTCAGATAAGCTGCTTTTGGTTTTCGCAAACAAACAAGATATGCCGAATGCTATGGATGCCACCGAAGTTTCGAAAAGCCTTCATATTAGGAATATTAGGGACAGAGAGGTAGAATGTAGTTTGATAATTAAATAATTAATTTGGAACAGTAATACAACAGTACTGAAACTCCTGGATTTAGTGGTACGTGCAGCAATCAAATGCTATCAGTGGTGAAGGTCTCATCGAGGGTTTGGAGTGGCTCCATTCTCAATTGGTGAAGAAGTAGTTGTCGATAAACCAAGGTCTTTACCTCACGAGAACCGCTGTCTTACGAAAAAAGAAAACCTTGAGCTTTATTATTTCCAATGAAACATTTCTCAGTGTTACAAAATGCCATCATGAAAATACAAAATGTCTTGACAATTTCCAGTACGTTTTATTGCTAAAACTGTTAAGAGTAGATTTACGATCAATGTTGACACATTCATTCCCGAAAATCATTTAAGTATTTGGCTGGGTTTCTGTGGTGATGCTGAACGATTCTTTTTCTTTCTGACAGATAGATGATAACAACTACGGTTTGTAAAAATTCTTTGAAAGCACAATTCACGACCTGCTGAAACTTTTTGTATTAACCCTTTCATTGAGAAGCATTAAAAGTTTAAACGGTTTATAGCGAAAAAATAAAGGCAACCTAAACAATATGAAAGTTACCTTTGGATTAAGTATTACCTAAGAAGGACACTATAGTTTCACATCATCATTACATCTTGAAGAAAGATGATCCACTTGATCTCAATAATGCTTCTGGCACGATGAAAACAGTGGTATTATTGGCATGGAACCTTAACACATCAAGGAAGAAATTGAAGAGTAATTCTTTAAGGACTTGTAGAGACAACGAAAGGCCTCGCAAAGAATGTCTGAGTACTGAACGTCTTACCGTATGACCCGCTTGTATAATCCACTAACGAATAGCTTATCAGAATATAAACCAAAACAACGTGAAGCAAGAACTAAATCATTTGCATTCGGTCCGCAACTAACGACAAGCGAGGTGCTAAATCGACAAAACTTTATTAGGGATTTCATGTAGTAATTAAAGTGGAGGGAAACAGTTTTACAAAATGGACACGGCAACAAGTCAGAGGCGGTGAAATAATTTGATGTAAAGCTACTTCTATATAGTTCTAGGAGTTACTTAGCAAGACGTCCCATCATCGCCGCAATTATTTTAACGCATCTAGGCAGTTTTACTTTGTTTTTTATGTATTGTTTGTTCCTCACAACGGTTTACTGCCTCATCGTGGCTGGGAGGTGCTCCCGGGTGTCGGGTTGCGATGTACAGCGGGGGATTCATCGCCCGGGAGAGTCTTCCAAGCTGAGAAGAAGTCTGGTGTTTTCATCAGGAAGCCCAGGTAAGAGTAAACTAATACCAGGATCCACCACCATCCTAAAATCAAACTAGTCGCATGGTGGGAATCTCCCCCTGGTCCATAAGGACGGCGACTGCCTGTGGTGGTGACAACCCCGGGCAGACTTTGGCCAGGCTGACTTCGGGACATCAAGGAAACAATGGTTAAACCAGCAAAATTTCGAAAAATGGAGATTATGCTGGGGCCCGCACGACCAGTGAGGCCATCTATGTATCCAAATAAGTATTTTTTTTATTTCGTTATATTATTGTATTTGCTATTCATTATTTTATTTTACTACTTGTTTTTATTGTTCATATTAGGTTCACAACAGCAACGACTACAAAATGAAATCTTCACATGTAAACCCTTTTACGCTAAAATGCAGTCTTTGTCATATTTTATGCAACTCTTCTCTAAACATTGTCGAGTAGTGATTTTGATATGTAATCTTCTTCACATATTTTGCGGTAAAGGTGTAGATTTTCGATAAAAGATAGGAGACTAGAATGCTTCAGGCTGACCATTCCGTGACCACGTATTGTAGGTAAGGAAACCTAGTAACCACTGCCTACACGCTTCTCAAGTTTATCTTCATTTATTTAAATAGCCTTGTGGTTCACCGAATGTGAGTAATTGCTTGGAGTTCAAATTTGCAGTAGTAGGTAATCTTTTCTATAGAGGATTGGGGACATAAAACATGTCTTCACAATAACGGAAAGTTGAGAACCAAATAGAGGAGGTATCCAATTCCTAATTTTTTTCTCTCCAGTTCTTGTCCAATGCAATAAAACATGTTCAAGTCGGACTTTAGGGAAAACAAACTGCATCTTCCTGTCATCGCTTAAGGGATAAGCCTTCAAAACTGCCTATTTTAAAGATTTCATCGTTGCATAAAGTATGTATCGTGAAATGGGAAGATACTGTTGCTAACCAAGAACGATGTGATTCACAGAACACAACTGAAGACAGACCTGTTTGACGCACGAGAAATATTATCGACTTGTTTTTCCCACGTGTCGCATTCAACTGTAGTGAATGGTAATACAGGAGAAGTTCTAATCATATCGTCCATGGAACTTTCGTAGGCGTATTGAGTGGAAAAACTATTTTCGAGAACAATACTCTCCTGGCTAAAATATTTCAGAATACCACAAACACAAGCAAAAACAATGTGGAACAAAATAGTATGAGTAAATAAAAAAACGTACACTGTAAATCTTCGTCTCTTGAATAACGCATCGGTCCATCCTGTACTACCAAATGGTGAATAGGCAATGGTGACACGAGATGCATCAGGAACAAGAGAAGATGAGCTGCTTAATAACCATCGGCCAGTAACATTGCAGCACTCTTAATGAAGAAATTAATTATTAATTTATCTTTGCGCCTAATACAAGGGTCATTTAGGATCAAATTCTGAACTTCAGCACATCTATAGGCTTGTTATATTGCTATTAAGTGTTGTATAACCGTTTCAACGTCATATTTATAATCCGAAACACCTATCCAGGTGGTAGAGATAAGGTGTCCCAGCAAAATATTCATTTTCTCCTAAAACAAGTAGTAATTCTCGCAAAAAGAAAATACATCGGTACTACACCACAAAGAACTCGGAACATTACGCTGGCAATAGCTTTTTGCTCACTAAAATCCGTGATGACTTAGATTTAAAGGTGTAGAAGATACTGATGTCACTTCCTCGTTGCTCCTAAAATACGACCCTCATAAATATTTCTACAACTCATTTGTGCTGAGCATTAATTTTGACATGCTAGTAAATTGAACACAAACGGGCAGACTGCTATGACTCGTGAAAATTCTATATTTCTTAAATTTGGAAGTACTATGGTAACAACTTTTAGTGCCAACAAAACAATCTTATTCTGAAATCCAACATTGAGGACATGGTGGCGCAAGCTAAGAACATACCACTCATTAATTACTTGGATACTTGAACGGCCCGTCCTCACAGATTGTGCGCAATATCCACTTTTGGGAGTTTTCCTGGCTTAGCGACTGTGGTTCCCTGCAGCCCCGAGACAAATCTGGCCAAAGTCTGCTCCAGGTCGTTACCGCTACAGGTAGTCTCCGCCTTTGTGGATCAGAGGGAGATTTGCCACCATGCGACTAGTTTGACACCAAAGCGGTGGTGAATCCTGTTATTCGTTTACTCAGCGGGCTTCCTGATGGAAACGGCGGACTCTTTCTCATGCTGGGAGACCCTGCCGGGTGGACGAATTTCCCGCTGCACATCGTAGTCCGACATCCACGAACACCTTCGAGCCACGATGAGGCGGTAAACCGTTAGGAGGATACCGCTGATTACCCGACACCTATACTGCAACAGAACTGTATTTGGGAACGCTGAATAATATACCTTGTGAACAGTCTTCCCATGAAGAATATATTCCATTGAATACCTAACGATTCAAATTGGACGCATAAGATTGAAAAGAGGTGAATTTTAAGCTACGAGTAATACGAGTTCAAGGCTTTCTCTATCCACAGACTTGAAAAAGTTTCGCAGATGAGACTACATGACCACAGCGGTTTTCACGGTAGAAGTATAGCCAGGAAATTGTGAACAAACTCATATCAGAAAACATGGAGTAAGATGGAAAGGATAGTTAGAGACTGCGCTCACCATGATGAAAGAAGATCATACATATTAACTTAAAGTTCCTTTATATTTCTTCAAATTAAAAATTGGCCCCGAAGGCTACCTAAGAATAAACTCCTTAATCAGGAATAGCCGCCGTCCTCGAAGGAACCCCGTCGCAAATCGGCAAAACCGTTTTAGATCTACAATGGCAGCAAGTACCTGCGTTGAAAACTTTCTTAACCAGTAAAACGTTAGTCCAATCTAAACTGTATTTGGACCCCGTAATTCGTGAAGGCGACTGATTCAGTTACTCGAACATGTAACACTGCATTCATATATTTTAACTTATTATTTACTGCCTACTCTTTTTTTAATGGCAGTGTACATTGCGAAATATAACTTCAATGATGATGAGATATTTGGAAAGCCCCGCATAGCAGGTGTCTGCGGTGGGGAACAAACGCGCTATTGTTCTTTCCGCGGAGTAACGCGTTAATCACCACACCATGCGGGTCCTTCGTTCCGCCTGCCTCTCAACTAGTTCTATCGATCTTCTGCTATCAGCAATCACCCGTCAGCGGGATTGATCTGGTGAGCCTAAATCGGCAACGAGCCCAGTTAAGCTGAGGTTGTAGTTGAAACCACAACGTTTTATCTTTTTATTTTCTGCCTACTACAATTTTCACGGTAGGGTACTAAGCGAAATACAACCACAATGTGGCTGAGATCGCTCGATAGAACTAGCTGAGAGACAGGCGAAACGAAGGACCCGCATGGTGTGGTGGTGAACGCGTTACTCCCCGGAAAGGACAATAGCGCGTTTGTTCCCCATCGCAGACACCTGCGGTCTAGAGTTTTGCAAATATCTCAGCATCATTGGAACTACATTCATATAGCTGGTTAAAACTGGAAAAGAGAATTGTATTAAACAGGTTTACATAGACTTGCTAACGGGCTAGCTTAGCAGATGAGAACCCAATGATGGCTCAAACTGTCTTTCATCAATAATTCAATCCTACTTTCAACAACGTTTAGTTCTCAGGCTTTTTATGTAAGTTGTTTAAAGGAGTTACTTATTATACCAGCATTCTCTTTAATGTCGTTTTCGTATTTATTCCTCGTAAGAACATAGGAGTACAACGGGGGCTGATGATCGATCCTGTAAACCAAGGATGGGTCTGTACCAGTATCAATATATCCTGAAAAAATTCAAAATTGGCCTATGTGTGGAATATCGAAGAACAGTAAGTTTTACACCCATAAACTACTCATCGTGTTAACCAATAAATAGACAATGAAATACCATTTGGATTAAAAGTTTGTACAACGTCGATGGTCTTATCCTCTAAGAGAACCGGCAGTGTTTGGGAAAGGTAGAACAGCCAATCAGAGGATAGCCTCACATCTTCTTCGATAACAGCAACAGCCGGTGAAGTAGGAAAAAGATAGAAAGCAGCAGAAACAGCTGACAGCAAGAGAGCTATAATTTGATAGCTACAATGAAGAGTAGTAAATTTTAATATCAACCGATCAATGTCTAAAAATGCGTTCACAAACATACAATTATAGCCATTTGTGGAATTAACGGGCAGTGATTTCACGTGGAAAAGTGATGAAAGTTCTGCATTTTCAGGATACTCCTGCAAAAAATGGGTGGGTATTGTAAAGATAAGTAAGGAAGACATAAAAAGTAGAAATACCTTGTCATACACTACGACGACCATCTGTGTATTTAAACCTTCTTGCTCCATAAGAGATTCGAGGCAAATACGAAGTGAATCGGTGGAAAGCCCTGAATACGAATATGAATACGAGATCATGGACGTTCTAAAGTGTTTAACACGCAAGAAGAACTGTATCTAAGCTCACCGGCAGCAAGCACAATGGGCATATTGAAAACAGGATCTCCTTTGCGTTTTGGATCTAATAAGGCTCGAGGACGGATTGGATTATCAACACTACTTTCTACAAGATGAATTGGCAACAATGTAACTGTTCAGCTAACATGACACTACGTAAGGATAAAGAACAAATACCAACCGCTGCAAAAATCTCCATGTCGGTCATGTTTCAGACAGAAATGTCGTCGTGGGAGATTATGTGGTCGTAAGTATACATCTGAAGCACGACCACGCCAGGAATCAACTGAAAACTGAAGCTGGACAGAATAAATTCTATTTGGCTCCTTAAAGTATAACCACACAATTAAATCAAATAGAAGAAAAAGTGATTCCGCAAATTGAACAAATGGCTACACCATATATTTAAATGGGTTTAAATGTGCCTTTATTAAAACGTGTAAAAGTTTTGAAGAATAAAACAGCCCCAATTTGACTGCTTTATGACTACTCTTTAAAAAAAAGATCCCACTGAAGAAAACAATTAAAAGACCTACGTTTTTTAGGAAGACAAATTGATGTTTTTATAGGCTTCGCCCACGAGTTGCCAGAAGGAATGTTCAGGTCCTCAAATGGACTATACGCAGCCAATTCCCTGTGACCAACGAAATACCTTAACACACAATCGTAACCACCAGGTTCAATTAATTATATTTCTGATTACTTACTGATTAGTCATAAAAGGAAAGTCGGTTTTTAAATGTTATGTCCTATGCTAGTTGATAATGATGCGAACTTCTGCAGGATGGATTGTTGAGAAAACAAGTTGTTATCACCAGATAATCACAATTATCAACAATCAGCTTCCTGCATACAACAGTATCGCTAGGTGAGATTGCCTCATTCGAGAGGTACTCCACTGAAGAAGATCCGACTCGATACGAAGAAGACGATGCCTTGTCGAAGAGACGAACAACTCTGGGCCATCGACTCGGATCATCGGCTCTGATGAAGACGAAGACGTCGAAACGTTAGCCGAGTAAAGATTATTTATACACCTCGTGTAAGCTTACCAAAGAAGAAACACATCCAATTATTTGTTTTGTGATAAGAGCTTAGCAGCTATATAGTAGCTAAACCTTACACGTTCATTCGATGGCTTACCCAGCGCAGATGCTGCGCCAAATATGGTCCACGGAAAACCATTTTATACGTTTAGTAAATCGGAAAAAGTCTTTCGGACGAATCTTTCTATTCAAATCGCGCCGTAAAAGATTATGCGAAGTTCCAATAGGCCACCAAGCATAATTTGAGGTAGTTATGTACCTGTTAAAAGGAAGAAAACCACGAAGATACAAGGAAGTCCATCCATGAGTGCGCACTTACCATGATGCACGAAATTTGAGCCGTTGAATCATACTCGATCCCATTTCGTAGAAAATCTGCTTTGCCATATCTGACAACCTGCAGAAAACGATGAAAATAGAAAATAATCTACCTTGGCACAAAACTCACATATTAGAAGCCTCATCAAAGCTAACAACAGCCAAAACTTCACCCAATGGAAGGTTGTCTAGCCACTGTTCGAGAGCGGTAGACTCTAAATAGGAAAGCTTTGTTTTCAAAATAGATTCAAGGCACAATGAAGAAATGTTTCAACGCCTGAACTAATCCCATGCAAAAGATATAGATTTATGCTCTTGCATTGAAAAATAACGAGCAAAAGTACCCATACATCACTATCAATACTACAGTGAACTGAACTATGTAACGTGCTAAATGCTAAACGAAGTACGGTTCACCAGTTTGTCAAACCAATAAATCTTAGTAAGAAGACGTATACCATCTTGGTAGGTGTCGAAATGCGCTACAGATGAAACTCGTCCAGTTTTAGGCTCAATAGAAACAAGATTGAGACCACGACCAGCACCATTTAACCCACGGTCTAACACCATACGTCCTCCCACGCACAAGCGCGGCCAATCATCTTTATGTTCTCCCGTGAAAAAGTGCATAGGAATTTCATCTAAATAAAACACATATGAATACAGCCCAAAGGACTATTGAAAAGACAGCGAAAAAGAACACAAAGAAGAAAAACTAACCAAAGCCACACTTTTCTGGAATACCACACCCTTCCCACTCCGCGCCAAGATGAACAACCCGATCGCCACTCATAGAGCCGCCCAAAGCTGCCATTTTTTCAACGTCAATTCTAACATATAATTTTAAACAACACACACGCATGGAATATGCTGGATGGAAAACTAAAGCATTTGTGATCTTATCCAAATAAATAGCGACAAAATATGCATGAAGTCCTTACCTTTGAATGTCGGATAAACCATTGGTAACATTAAGGGATACCACACTCCCAAAAGGAACTTTAAAACAACCCTGAATTACGTGAAGTGTATCTTCATAAAAGTGGGGCACTACCTGAAAATGAAACCATTTCCAGTTTCGAAAAACAAACAAACCACGTACTTGAAAGTAACTGTCTAATTTAAAGCACTTAATAATAACCCATATACTGTAATATCTGTCTGTTTTCTTGCACATGTCCCATGATACATGGAAATTAAATCTATGTCGTTGTTATCTTTCAGACCGATTATTTTGTTGATCTCTAAAAAGTGCAGAATGTGCCAAAAGTAGCGGTAAGGTGTGGAATGAATTGGGAAAGAACTCTTCATTCTTCGCGATACTATGGATGCTGTAAGGAAACCTCACCATACCGCATAATGAAATCTGCTAGTTACCAGCACTTGAGAGAACACCAAAAATTGAATTCTCATGCAAGATGCCATTCCCTCACATTCTGCTACCATCTTTCGTGAATGGCCAAATGCCCACTTCTATGGGACGTGAACGGGTCTTGGTGGTTCGCATGAGTGGCCAACCAGAAGCTTTTACCCAACACCTTGGAACTTTCCTCATTGAGGTTGCTTAAAAGAGCAAGTGTGCTCTGCCAAACCAACGTCTTTCGAAGAATATGAAGGACGAATATGAGAAGTTATGTCTACCATCCCACAAGTTTCTCGTGAAATTAGTTGGTCCGGTGTCCAAACGGCTTCAGAAACCGTGGCGAACGATGGTGCCCGGATCGAATTTTAAACAAAACTCTAAGCTGTACGCTTTCTCCCCATGTACATTTTTTCAAAAGTCACAGCTCTTGAGATATACGTAAATTAAAAAAAATTAATCTTTGTTTGCTGGATGGACCGATACCTCCCTATGAACACCAAATTATACTTCTAAATATATGAATAATATATATGTATATATATATATAATTATAATACAGTATGAAAAATACTGTTCCTGGGTGTCGGACTGCGATGTACAGCGGGGAATTCATCCGCTGGCAGAGTCTACCAAGCTGAGAAGGAGTGCGGGGTTTCTATCAGGAAGCCTAGCTAAGAGTAAACCAATACCAGGATCCACCACCGCCCTAGTATTAAAGTCGCATGGTGGTAAATTTCCCTCTTATCCACAAAGGCCGCGACTGTCTGTGGTGGTGAAGACCTGGGGCAAACTTTGGCCAGGCTGACCTCGGGACTCTAGGAAACCATGATGGCTTAACCAGCAAATGTCCGAAAAATGGAGATGATGCTGGGGCCCGCACAACCAATGAGGAGGGTGCATTTAAGTATAAAGTATCAAGTAATATGTCGATGTACGTATATAATTCATATATACTTCCTTACAAGAATGCACATATAAACTTACCACTTCATGCGCACTCTGCTTAAGTCCAGCTTGCCCAAGAATGGCGTACGATGAAGTTTCCCTCCAATCGGCAATTCGTACTGCACCAAAGGAAGCCAATAGAGCACGAGCATCGGCGGAAACCCGTTCAGCAACGTCACCGAACGATACGCCGACGATGATTGAAGACTGTGGAAGTGACCTAACAAGAATAATTGGACCAAACAGACAAAACAAGACTACGACATTCGAAAAATCATTCACACAGCATTGCTTGATAAAATCGACCGAGGACATACCTTAACCACCCGATTAACTCTCCATCTGAGGTGGCCACATCAAAGGAAGCGCGAGATTTGATTTCCCCAGTAAAACCATTTAAAGAAACAAGATTTACACCATTTTTGACATTCTGCCCGTCAAACAACCTCAAAAATCAAACGATACGAGAGAAAGCAATACGCGTATATAGCCATGAAAGTATATATACATGTATACATGAGCATACGCATACTTATATATACCTCCGTACACATGCACACTGTATGTGACCTACATACACAAATATATACACATATTTATACCTACTTTTATATGATCCGTCTTCACGTCTACCGTGTGGATCCTAGCACTTGTCACATTCGATTCGTTTCCTCACATCCATCGCACACGAAAGTCTTTCAACTTTTACGTGTGACTTCGGCTACTGCTTGAGAGTTTTCACTCCACCTTGAATTTCGTAGAATGCTAGCCGTGTCGACTCTCCCTGAAGTCCTGAGATAGCCGGGCTGGAGCGTTCGCAGTTGAATTTCAGAGGGTGGCTTTGTTCCCGGACAAGTCCGGTCCAAATTCTCTGACTCCGGAGGCATGAGAGACTTGGTTGGACTGGTGCGGAATCAAACTAGTACCATGCTCGTGATGACCGACATCACTAACACTGCGCTATCCGCTACGGTATGAACATATACATGTGTGTATAAACGCATATATATGTACATATATATGTACACACATATATACATATGCGTGTGCATACATACAGATACTATTCTGCCATGCTTATGTATACACATAAGAAAATAAATTGATGAAGCACTCACATAATGTCGTTGATACAAGCAAGTGGAGGAGAATTGGCGGTCTCGGCCCGAATTTTGAAAAGAAATTTTGGTGGCGGACATGTCTTATCGTAGAAACACCCATCTAAACGGCACTGTGGAGAATTCTTCACGGACTACGGCTCAGTTGCTTCAAATGTTGCATGGAGTGCAAGAAAGTTTACAAACCCAAGTTAGAATGTCAGCTGAGCATCGCACAGTCGGAATTAGTTAATTCATAACTAGCTGAAGTCAAAAGCATGCATCTGGTAAATCTAGCTGGCTTGTACGTAATTCGGAAACGAGTCTAAGCTACACTACTCTGTACTTCTGACGCGAAATGGTGTTAGTAGGAACATAACTTGGAATTATAAAGCAAATGGAAAGCATAAATACACTACTAAGTGGTGAAGGATTGAATATGTAGACCTTCTTGCACTTCGGATCCTTCATAGGGCTTTAGTCTGTTGGTTTCCAGAAGTTTTGATCTCGTTGTCACTGGAATTTTTTAAAAATCACCTCACGATTCTTGTCAGCTTCTACCGCAATTCTATAGTAATAACAAAAAAACCTTCAGCAGCACAGAAAGCATTGAAATAAAAAGCTACACCCCTACTTCTCCATTGATAGAAAAGTGTTTCTCAAATTTTGCAAGTGCGCGTAGCGCTCATTATGGCACAAGGGTTTAGCAGCACTTTAGCGGTCACTATTTCAACATAAATTTAATACATAAGAACTTCTATACGCAAACTCACACCGTAGACCTGTAGCAGCTCTTCTGCTGAAGATGAACACTCCGACCGAGAACAACGCTGAGATCGAAATCACCGCAAGGACGGCACGGCGGTTCAGTCTCATGGCTGCCCAGAAACCGTCACCTCGACATGACTTCAACCTTCAAGCAAGGCTTATTGAACACAGACTGTAGTGATTAGCAGAATGTTCGACTGAACATCGAGCTCCGAAGCAGTTCTTTGTGGACGAAGGCGCCGTTTGCTAGGAATAGTGAAGGGAGACGGCTGCCTGCGCGATCGTTGGCGCTGGAGCGAGCAATCACCATCACGATGACTCGCCCGACTGCGTCCGTCGCGACGACGCACTATTTCGCATTCTTGCGAAGTGGACGACGCTTAATATTTCTCACTGCACTTATGGACATCACGCAGGCCACAACAGTTTTTGTGTAGCCCATCGCCATTTTGTTGCGATTACCGTCCTAGAAGTCGGTTTTTCTATTCGTTTTGGGGAATTTTCTGCGTCCCGTGTATGCTCTGTGTTCTTCCACACACCTTCCTATGTTTTTGATGCCTATGCGACTCCTGAGTAGGCTATAGGAACAAGCAAGCTGAAGCTGGTAATGTTGAAGGTCCTTGTGCTCACTGTAACTAGTCCTCAAGGGCGCCTGTGGTGCAGTGGTCGGAGGCACCCTGCAACACACACGTGGAGCCGATCCTCGTGCCCACGGCCAGGGTCGGCATATTGATACCAGACTTGTCTGGGAGGATAGCAGCACTGACTTGATACATCGGTAGGCCACCGCAAGTCATTGTTAAGGCCAGATGTGCATTCAGTCACCTCCAAACGATGTTTAATGAAGTTGAATGCATGGCACATCCATCAGATGAGCAACGCCGAGAGCTTTATCCTTTATCCTTTATACGGCTCCTGTGTTTAGAGAAAAACACTCGTCCACTGTGCAATCGTACTGCTGTCAGCATTTAATGAAGTTGAGTAAGTTCTGCAAGGAATGTTACGATGTTTACGTTTTGGTTTTGATATTCTCTCTTCGCCTGCAATGCGCAAAAGTCATCACAGCTACTGAGAATTGGAAGACAACGAATTGGTCATCAAGAATGGTGCTGCACACTGGCATGGTTCTCCAAGGTTCAGTGACTACACTGTCTAGGCAGCACACTCCTTTCGACAACAATAGTTTGTCGCCGCAACATTGGAATTTAATGAGAAAGTATAAAGAAGGTGTCCTCCCATGGACGTCGCCCTCCCATGCGATCTGTGTTGGATAAGCTATCGATTGATTTCCAGAAGTATAGGAAAGCGCTTCTGTGCACCTCAGTAAACCTCCGGGGAAGAAAATGACACTTATAGGAGTCTTACCAGTCACTTTCCCAAACCGTTACTGTACCCAGAGGTGTCATTCGTCGCGAGAGTGTAAATCATTTTTGTGGTCAAAATCAAGAGTCTTTGACATTCATTGATGTATCTTCTACTACACTATGAAAATACACTGCGACATGAAGCACATAAATTTCATCAGTTCGATTACAGTACACCTTTGTTGCCCTCATCACTTTTGTTAAGAGGTTGTGGCAGCCAGCGATTTGCGTTTGAATGGAACAAGATAGCTTCTGGGCCATAGTAGCTGGTGTCTTAATGATTTACGAGTTTTAGCCTGGCCGAGAACAACCTTTACAATTGGTCAAAGGGGGACAAACGAATTTCTTTCTACGCTGTGAATTTACAAACATTCACAGCAAATTGCAGAGGCTTCTCACAACGTTTAACTCTTATTCACTACCTATTTCTTCCATGGCAGAGTATTATGTGAGATACAACCACAATGATGCTGAGATATGAGGAAAACTCGGAACCCTAGGTGAGCTTGGAGTATGCGTTGACCTTTCCGGAGTCTCATGTGCATTTGTTATCCGTTGCACTCCCAGGCCTTTTTACCCTAGCAGTACCCTCATTCCCGTCAACGGGTGATTGCTGGTTGCACCAAAGTAAGGGTCTCGGTGTCACAGTGGATAACGTGATTCCCTGGAAAGGGCAATCAACTCTTCGAAACTTACCTGAGGTTCCGAGTTTCCATCGTATCTCTGCGCTATTGTGTTTGTTAGGGTTTCTGTCCGGTCGTGTAGGTTGAGCTTCTTTTTCTCTGATCTTTATTTGAATGCATGTAGCGCATTGAAAATAGAATAGTTCTGATCAGCATTCAGCGGCATTTATGGAGAAGATCGAACATCGTAAAGCAGCAGTCGAACCCTCACTTGGATCCGGAAATGTCTGTGAATGATGGGCGCTGGTATAGGAGCTTCGTGCATTAATATCTTGGATACTTGGACACTTGGACGGCCCGTCCTCACTGGTTGTGCGGGCGCCAGCATAATCTCCACTTTTCGGAGTTTTGCTAGTTTAGCCATTGTGGCTTCCCGGGGTCCTTAGGTCAGCCTGGCCAAAGTCTGCCCCGGATGGTAGTCGCGGCCCTTGTGTATCAGAGGGTGATTTGCCGCCATGCGACTAGTTTGATACCAGAACGGTGGTGGTTCCTGGTATTGGTTTACACTTAGGTAGGCTTCCTGATGAAAACGCCGGACTCCTCAGCTTGGGAGGACCTGCCGGGGAGATGAATCCCCCGTTGTACATCGCAGTCCGACATCCTGCAACACCTCTCAGCCACGATGAGGCGGTAAACCGTTGGGAAGACACTAATATCGGGTAATTTAAAATATAAAAAACCTTTATTTGCTGTTATTTAGCACATTGTGTTCAATTATTATGAACAAAAAAGCAAGTATTAGAAGAACCACTCTTGAGGTCATTCAGTCAGTCGACAACAGTCGTTGACTTCAAAGCTTTCATAGTCCCCAACCTATTCTCACATCTTTACAGAAAATTTGTCCTTGGCAGTTTATGTGATAAACGAATAGAAAATGTTTAATTGTTCACGGAACAAAAGTACATGAAAATGTTCCGTAGTTTGGTGTCTGCAAAGCGTCGAAGCTCTTCAAAGAAAATTTCATGAGCAACTCAACCACATCGTCATCACCTCCTTTGCTCATAACGCATTATGCCTCAGCGCTGCTTTGCCCCTGCTACCTACAGTAAATCGATAGCTAATAGCTGATATGTACATGGGTAGTTAGCTTTACGTTTACTAGGAGTTAGCATTGAAATATAGATTTAATAGGAAGTCCGGCTTCTGTCGTGTTCTTTCAACATCCTCTGCGAACTCCTGTAGACGGTCGTCGATTTCTTGACGAGTTGCCATCAAATTGACGTCGTACTGCCATGTTGTGTTCCTGAAGCATCCACATTGGAAAGTATGGGTACTAGACACTTAGCTATGACTTTCTCGTAGTAAATAGTAATAATGGTTTGAAGGCTGGATTTCGTCTTTCATTCGATGTTTTTTCCTCAGATGCGAGATGGTAGCGCTGTGATAGTGTTAGCGTTCATCACGAGCACATAGTGGTTTGATCAACCACCATCTCACCAAGCCTTTCATCCCTCCGAGGTCGGGAAATTTGAATCAAACTTGCCTACGAGCGTCTATTCTTTGTTTCATAGACTTACACAAGGTTGACAAACACTTTTTGTTCGGCTAACGTTTCGTCGTCTTCGTTTTCATCAGATTTGACGATCCGAGTCAATGGCCCACAGTTGTTCGTCTTCTCGATGTGGTGCCTTAGTCGTTGTATCGAGTCGAATTTTCTTTAGTGGAGCACCGCTAGAGCGAGGCAACCTCACCCGGTGACGCTCTTTTTTACAACGGTACTTCAGCGACGAACATTCGACTCGATACGACGACGAAAACACAGTGCTGAGAAAGCGAACAACTGTGGACGATCGACTGGGATCATGAGATCTGGTGAAAAAGAAGACGACGAAACGTTAGCCGAACATAAATTGTTTATGAACCCCGTGTAAGCTTATCAAGGGAAGAATACATGTTGATTAGTCATAATGATGTTAAAGAAAAGTCGGTTTTAAAATGTTGTCTACGAACAGTTAACACCCTGAAATTCATGCGGGACCCCTTTTCCGGGTATTTCGGTAGTTCATGAAGAATCGACATGACAACATTCAAGGAAATCCATAAAGCAGACGAGAATTTTCAAATAGCTCTCGAACCCATACGCGAAATAGGCAGATCTTAGTGAACAATAGATACGAGGAAACGAATCGAATTCAAGAAGTGATGGGTCCGCACATTAGCTATGAAGATGGGTTGTGTAAAATAGGTAAGAGATAATTTTCCTTGTCATTCCTTTTTTCTTCAGATGTCAAATAACAAATATAGTAAGTTGTATGTTTTTTAACTACAGTATTTGTAATAACTGCCTAAAGGGTAAAAGGATAAAGCTCTCGTCGTTGATCAGTTTTAAGGGATGACCCATGCATTCAACTTCATTAAGCATCGTTAGAAGTGACTGAATGCATCTCTGGCGTACTCCCCAACTCCCAATGGCTTATCAATGTATCGAGCCAGTGCTGCTACACTCCCAGACAAGTCTGGTAGCAATTTGCAGACCCTGGACGAATGGGTGGGGGTGGGGGGGGAGGGGCGCGAGGATCAATCTCATGTGTATTCCAGGGCGCGTCCGAACATTGCGCTACAAGCGCCCCCAATATATTGCACAAGAAGATCATTTCGAGAAATTAATGCAGCATTTAGGAAAAATTTTTTTCTTTCATGTTAGCAAAGGTTAAAAAGTAAGTCACACTCAGTCGCGCCGTAGAATATTATGGAAGGCTAACGCGGTCTATAAAATGCTCCTCTCATGCAAGAAGAGAGGAAAATAAAAACTGAACTAAACACACGGACACTGTCTTAGAGAGATTTACGAGTTACTGGAGGTACTCAATATCATTTCATCCTGGTGTAACACCGATAGGTAACCAAAAACCGAAGAACAATGATGCGAGTTGATGGACCAAAATTTTCGGGACCGAGTTGCGCGCTTGTCATTTACCAGTCAATTCTATTGCTTCCAAGGAGAGGAATGTATTGATACAATAACAGCCGAGGACAGGTGGATTTTTTGCCACACCGATGCGCTCTGTGGCTTCTGGTTGCCATGGAGAGAATAGTCGTCAGTTTAACCGGGTCGAAATTA